TCCTTCAAACACATCTTACAGAGCTAGCTGCTTGGAAGCTGAAATAGGTGAGACAGATGTATTTCGAATAACACATTATAATTTTCGTTTTACTATTGTCATGTCTTAATATTCTTATGTAATAATAATTATTTCAAATAATGCAATATACTTAAAAATAGTGGTGGTTATGTGGTAATTAACGCAATCCATCGGAACTATTCATTGTTATTACAAATGTATGCTCATTTTTTGTATTTATCTTGCTAATATTATTCGATGAATTTTTCGACGATTTCTTAATTATTATACTATTATTTAATGTAACTATTATCATTGCTTAACTAGAGTGCATAATCAATAACAAGGATTTCAGTAAAATTATAAGGAATTTCCTAAATTTTTGTAAAGGCACCTTTTGATGACTTCTTAAGGACTATATAATAATTTTATGTAAAGAAAAACGATGTTTGCTGTTATTGAGGACGTGAACTTCAAAAAGATATAACAATATAAAACAAAAGTTTAACAAAAAAAAAGGACTAAAAAGAACTGTTGTACACAGTATCTTTTTGACCCGGGAAATAAAGTAAATTTATAAGATTAAGTATATTATCATAGTTTTATATTAAGGTAGCAAAGCATATATTTTGTTTTTGCGTGCAATTTTGACATTTCATCGGGAGGTATTTTTTTGCTATAGAATGGAAACCCTTTGTCAGTTTCGTAGGCAAACTATCGATATCGATGGTATGGTTGTGGCACGTGTCTACTACTGAAAAATGTAGAGCGGACCGTAAATAATGCACAAAAAAAAATAAATAAATATTGATTAATGGCAACACACAGCCAGAGCCCGAAGAAGAAAAAAAGTTATACCCTTTAACTGAAAGGGTCTTTTTCAAATTTGGGACCAAAATTAGAAATAGATATAATTTTTATCAAATAAACTTTAGTAATATTTTAGTCTAGCTTTATAATTTAACTTTTGAGTTTATAAGGAAAGAAATTAAATGTTGAAAGAACACAAATTACTACATACTAAGTATTATTAATTGAAATGCTAAACAAGCTGTCGGCCCATCTGACCACGACGACGGTAACGATGTAAACCTAAATTGTTACCACATTACAACATGTCACAGGGATGGTAACAGCATTACGAACATTACGTCATCATGGTATGCCGGTCATACCCCTTATGTGTTGTCATTCTGGAGATGTCATGCCATAATATCCTGTAAAGTAAAAATAATAACATAATATTTGATTTAAAAATATATGTACAAACATTTAATTAGGCAGCGCTAATTGCACCTTTCAACTGAATAACAACTTCCATTAATACCAAACAACCATAGCGCCAAAAATGTTAAATGTTTGTACATATATTTTTAAATCAAATATTATGTTATTATTTTTACTTTATCGGAACCCCACAATAATAACAGTAAGGGCGTCGTATCCTAGTGATTTACTATCACCAGTTTGTCGATATCGAAAGTTCTACAAGTAAACTTAAAAAAAGTACATGTTATTAGCACCCCTGAAAAAACCTAGACAATATTGGGATATTGTCTAGGTTTTTTCAGGCGTAGGAGCGGAGCAGTAATCAAAAATGTTCAATTTCTGCGCTTGCGCTGCGTAGGGGAGCAAGGGGGAATAGCGCTCACCGGGTAATGGCGCTCACCTCTGTAACTCTATCAAAATAGAATGTAGCAACACGCCGCGCCGCCACGTTGCTTAAAGCACGAGGATAGGTAGCCTCTAAAAGACAGCAATGCAAACAGACAGTCAGCTCGCGTCATGTGATCATGAAGTGCGGATTTTCGTTTGCGACCACACTGATCTAATTTTGCATAAGTGTTTTATGGCGGTAAGACACACTAAAATTTTAATGTTTAAAGTTACGCAATAAATAGGTATGAAGAAATTGTTATCCTTTAAGTTTAAAATGTTTATTCAATGTTTATAACTGTTTTTATGGTAATCAAATTTCTTTTAAAAGAATGCAATATTTGCGAAGGTGTTTTATACCATTTGATTTCAATGAACAGTTTAGGAGATATCATAGTTTTAATAAAAGAAGAACCTTACAAACTATCTGTCTTATCACCGCGTTTGGAAATTTCATGGAGATAAAGTTTATTTTATACAGTATTTTAGGGAGTCTATCATAAGAAATGCTACACAGTAATAATGAGCTAGTAATATTATAGCATCAACATTGCCACTGGCCGTGCCAGAATATATATGCGGCGCAGGTAGCGGCATGGCGGTCGGCTCCTTACGAGTCACATAGCATAGGAACTTGAAATAATTAACATATCGAACAAATTAAGAGTTAAACAATTATTAGGCACGTGCGAACCCGGGGCGGGTTGCTAGATAATGGATAAATATGGAATGACGAAGCCGCCTGCGCATACTATTTAGGCTCGTTGGGCATTAGTTGAAGATGAATGAATGAAGAATTGATTACGCTGAATTACAGTCAATATCTGTGGAGTGGACCAAATATTGTCACAAATCCCCATTTTTTTGTGATTATAATGGAATGGTGCACCCTCTTGCGCTAACGGCTTATGCTGGCGCATGGCGGGGCACCAGTGGAGGATGATAAGATGAGGTCAGGTCAGTTAGCCTATCGTGACAAAATTACCAAAAAAATATCACGATGGTTTCCAGGGGAACCGTGTGGAGGTCAATCTGACGTGGTACATTGCTAGCAATGGTGTTTTTAGTTTACATTACTATCAATCCCCTTTCTCCCATAAGTCCCTATTATTGACAGTCACCTCACGAGGGAGTACCGTTCCATATTCTTACAAAAAAATGTCCATCGCCTCTTCTATATAAAACTAGCCACGGTCAACATTAGTTAGTAAAGGAATAAACTAGACAGGATAAAAAGAAATAAGAGAATAAGGGTATTATTGCTACTTTATATATTATATATAGTTTCCAGGCAGGTGAAATTGCGCAGATAAAATTACGTATTTTTATATAATTTTTGTTATATATAAGTACAACATTCGTACCTTTAAATCTTATAACTGTAAAATAATCATTATATGACTAAGATGAATGAGGAACAGAACGAAATCTATGGGAGGGGCTTATATATATGTATAAATGTAAATTGACTAAATAAGTAAAATAAATGTTGCCTTACCTTTTTTGTTGCTAACCATGGATTCATATTTCTTTTCCTTATCAATCCAGTTGACGTAACACACGGCACAATATGCATCACAAGACATGCCGTCATTAGAAACATCATCATATTCTTCAGTGATCACTGTACTTAAACAAGAAATGCAATCGCAGTTACTATTATGGTAGTTCATTATATTATCTGGAGAATATTACGTGGTAATGCCACTGGTATAATAAAAATTATAATTGTTTGTCTATGTGGTAGTTCAAAACGATCATTCGATCAAGTATAATGGTAAACGCGGGTAGTTTCATGGCCTTAAAAAAACCTTTGGCCGAACTTCAGCCGTAATCGTCGTCAACAGCTCGAAATGATGATGATAGGTTTATGCACACCAAAATCGGCCCATTATTAAGAATATATATTTTTATTTATTTTAATTCTACATTTTTAATATGTTTACATTTGTTATTTAATACCGCTTATATATATTCACTGTAAAATACATTATGATTTGTAGTCGGAATATAATAATGTATTTTTGTATGTGTTGCCACAAAATTTATAATCAATTTGGTATACCAAATTAGTTATAAATTTTGTGGCGTTTTATTTCTTAACTCATTTATTTACTTATATTTTTTATATATTTATAAGTAAATAAAATATAAACGTCAAACGTCTGTTTCGTTTAAATTAAAAATTAACAGCTTTTTTGTTTTTGTTTTAATTTATTTTAATTTTTTGGGAGTTTTGTACATCTAAATGTGAATTCCAGTCCCATTATAGCCTAAAAGTAATTACTCCATTACCTCACCAGTGAACAAATTGCTAAATATGTTTGTAGTTTATTATTTTGGCTGTAACGGCTCTCACATAAAAGATAGATGTATCTAGCATATGTAGATTTTATATAGTCGTGTAACTCTAACGGTTTTTACGGCGCACGCCTGACTGGATTGCAAATGGGAATTTTTTTCCGACTTTTAATATTTACCATTATATTTTGCCCAATTTGTATAATATCTTTTAAATCATATAACTATGTGCTATCCTGATGTTCAAGTTATATAACTCTAAAGTGTCAGCGAAATCTGTTCAGTAGTTTTGTGTGAAAGAGTTAGAAACATACATACAAACTTTCGTATTTGCGTACCATATCGTACGTACTCGTAATATAATTAATATGGACTAGCTATGCCTTTTTACCAATATATTAATTTGTATGATGCTACTGTACTGTTAAGTCTTAGATGTATCTCTCTATGAGTATTGAGTTTATTATACTTAAAAGCAGATAATATATGTAAATATTATTTGTAAAAAGTCGAGTAGGTGGAATAGAATTACCATTTATATAAACATATATTACAATATATTTAGTTAGGATTGTACTTTTGACAATGACTTATTGTACAGACAACCCAAAGTTATCAGATTCTGAAAATCTAAATATTAAATATTATCTACAAAATACTAGAAATGTACATGTATCTATACGAATTTGTAGGTACCATTAGGTATTTATATTGGTATCTAGTATTGTATAAGTCTAATCTCAATATCTTTTGAGGTGAATATATTTTGTATTGTACTTTTGAAACGTAATAAAAACTAAACCGAATAAATCTATGACAATATCATAATATTGTCATCGAACATGAAATATGTAAATAATACTTTGCTGGTATATAATTAAAAATATGATAGTGCAGACCAAAGTCACAGTATCAGATCCCAGAGTAATCCGGCTAAAGATTGCACTTCCGTTTTGGTTTCTTTTTAGATTTTAAAAACCAAGAAAGGATATTAATTAAAATTCCAAAGCCTATATACAAAATATTTTTATTCTACTTAGTTTATTTTACAATTGTGAATTTTCAGGTTCAAAAGCAGAATTGACGGCACCTTTCAAATCTCGCATTTTAGCATCTTCTTGATTCGGTATTTTCTGTAAAGTAGAATTAATTTATTTTTATTGATACATTTAGTATAACCTATATATTAATACGTGAAACAATAACTTTGTACACCTTTTTAAGAAAATTATTCGGGCGTAGGAGTTTGTAACTTCGCACACTTATGGTTCATATGTGTAGAGAATAACTCCAGAATGCTAATAGCTATATAAAAGACTAATATATATATAAGAGTATATATGTGTGTGTGTGTGTCACATACACGGCAATGAGTGTAATTTTTTTTTATAGATGTTTACGTTATCTTTACCCATAACTAAAAACGATTTATTGTTAAAGTCTATGGTCAGATTGGGATTCTAGATTAATAAATAATTTGTCTTTGTCTTTAATATTAAAAGTCTTACAGCTTGTTCAATTGATTAGGGTCAAATTTGAATCACCGGGCGACCACTAGTAAAGGTAACTAGTACCTATAGCAATAATACATATAACGTACGTTGTAGGTATGCGAGTTCTGTAGACAGGCCATGGACTGCACGGTGTACTTTAAACAATGTAACAAACTTTATAATAACAAGAATGCAATATTACTACTAAATAGACCAAGGCGAGGCCTTCATACGTTGTATTAATAACATCATTGCTATTAGGACGCATGGTAACATCATCTATTTTACTATGCATATACATATATTACATTTAGGTTTTTTTTGTGTAATTGAAACGGCAAACAACTTGACAGTTAGCTGATGGTAAATAGCAACTGTAGTTTACGTATATCTACAGTACCCTCATATTACGATACCACGTGACACTCATAGGAGGTATCGTGCGTTGCCATTTCGTAGGACTATGATGCCAAGACTCCGTTCTCTGCAAAGTCACTACCATATCACACATTTAGGTAGTTGACAAAGCAAGCTGTTTAAGAACAGAAATTGGCGAGATAGAGGTGTTCCATTGACGACTTCGTGCGAAATCTACCCGGATAGTACTTTGATATAAGTACCGATCTGTTTGGTAGCCATTAACACTGACTGTAAATAAATGGTCTAGCGGTTTAATACATCACTTTACTGCCGATGAAGATGGAATCCGATTGGAAGGTGGAACACAATACTATTATATATATTATGTGTGTGTCTACTAATGTATTCATGCATATGACGGTAAAGATCTGGGTGTTGACTATGTACGGTATGTACATGTGGTTTGGTTGGTGCCCTACATATGTATTATCCAAAACATATTTTATTATATTACTTGTCTAACAGACGAGCAAAAATGTTAAGACACTGGATACGGTACGATGAATTTATGAAAGTTATTATGAAGGAAAAATTGAAGAAAAGCGCTAGATCAAGCAAATCAAAGATAGAATTGGATTCGTGTCGAATCAAGGTTTAGAGAGTTGGCATTAAATATTATAAGTAAAACTACAAACCTTAGATCTGTATACTGTATTAGTTAGTCGCTTTACACCTGCGAAGTGATTTTCGATGTCACTTAATTTTTTCCCTTCAGTTTCAGGTAGAGTGAAATAAAATATTATACAGCCCAATGTACTGCAACAAAACATATTTTATCAGGTTAACAAATAGAAATATATTTTTTATTATTAATGGATGTTAATGAAATGGTCGCAAAACTCGCCTACGCTAACTGTATAACGGTGGCGAGGCACCAGTGAAGGATGATAGGATGAACATCAAGTTAGTCCAGTTAGCACATCATGACAAATTCACCAGGAATTAACCACTATGGTTTCCAAGCGAGACCACATGAAGGTCCACCTAACTTGGTTCCCTATTACTCCCAATCCCTTCCTCCCTAATAGAAATATTGTAACTGTCATGTGCATAGGGAAGTTTATAAAGTGTAATTCTACTAATTCTGTAAATATTATTCTAATAATGTCATTGAAAATATAAATAAATATTAATATAAAGTGTGTATGCTTCCAACGAATTTTATTAAGATGGATTTTATAGTTAACATATAAAATATAATGTCACTTTATTGTATTTATGACTAGCAGTGACCCGCGATTTCGTCTGCGTGGAATTTACCTTTTATTTTACTTTAATAAAGAAAAATCTAAATTAAAAGAAAATCGGTCTAGCCGTTTTAATGATTAGCCAGAACAAAAATAGACAAAAATTTTATGTTAGTAACGTACATACTCTCTTGTGCATTTAGTGGTAATTTGTTTATTTGAAATTACAAATTGCACTGTAACTATATTTATTTATATAAATAATATATTAAAATAAAAGAATATATTCTATTGCTTTATTTACTTTTAAAAAGTGAGAGATAATAATGTTCTAGATATTTATTAACATATCACAAAAGAATGTTAATAAAACTAGGTGTATAATTCTCTCAGATTACCATTACTTTGTATATTATACCTATATATAAATTATGTCTCCGATATAATATCAAAAGGTCAAAAACGAATGATATTATATTAAAATAGTTGATATCGGCAATCGGCGGCTTGAAAGTAATATGTATATAATTCAACAAATTATTGAATATATTTTGGTTTTAGGAGTGGAAATGATTAATAATGTATCTTCACTCGATATGTAAATAACATTGTTACTTACTATAAATGAAGGTGAACTTTAACGAGTATAAATATATATATGATGCTTGGTTAGGTAATACCTAAATATAATATTGCATTCTATTAAGAAATATGTAACAACTGTTTGATATTTTCATAACTTATATGATGATATTTTTAAGAATAACAAAGTGATTTATCATAGATATTACTAAACATGGATCAGGTAACCACTATTAGTGTTTACCAAAAGTTTCAAGTACTATATCACCCAGTTTCTATTTATAAATTATTCGTATATTCTATTAAATTAAATAAATTCATAATAAACGTACCTATATCTATATACATATTATAAATATATTTACATTAATAGTATATACATTTAGCTGTATTAAAAAAACCAGCAACAGTAGTAATACTATAGTTACTCTCAACATTGATTAGAATTACGTTTCGTGAGTTCTAAATAGTCAATTCGAAAGTAAGCATTCTGATTTTTCAATAACAATTGTCTCCTTTTGCAGGTGTTAATTTTTGAAGCTCGATAAATATACAAACAGAAACATAATCAAATCAATTCTCTTAATTAATTAATACATTGTTATCTACAGTCAGTTATCAAGTTTATTGCATTAAGGTCGTTAAAATAGTTGTTGTAGTATTTAATTCAATTATGACGATTGTTGTTTACTTACCACACAATTCCATACAGGCCATACGTTCCCCATAAATCAAGACGCTCAACCATATCAATGTATAGTTTGTTAGCGAAAAATCCGAAGATGTAACCTACGGCACTTGCTAATCCAGCACCGCCCGATCTAGTTTTAGCACTGAAGATCTGCAAAGAATTTTTTTTTAACCACTGCGTATGTGCGTAATTATGTATGAGCATTGTTATCCGTAGTCTTCAATTAGAACAGGATATCTTGACCCATATATATATGTATATTATTTAAACACACTGTGATATAACTAGGCAGTTATAGTACAGATTCAATTTTAATTAATTTTAATACACCTTCACGTCTAATAATAGGTACACACTTATACAATAAACGTAAAATTCCTTTAAAAAAAAAATGACAACAAGTAGGTATAAAGTAAGCTTCAGCGTTGATTATGGTCATCTCTTTGACAGATACTTATTTTGATATATTTCAATACTGTGGGAAGATGATTTAGCAGACATACTTCACCAATTAATATCCATGGTAAAAGTCGAATTCCCGTGTGTGTCAATAAAGCTAACAACATAAGGAGTGTTGTCGGTATCCATGAATACGAATTACCCTGAAATTAAAAAAAAACAAAAGATAAATGCTCACCTAGGGTGACCTAATTGAGATAATATTTGCAGTTGTGATTTTTTAGCCGTACACCGTTTATTATATCGATATCTGTCGAGTAGTATAGGATAATCAGAACATATTCATAATCCTGTATACTCCCTATAGTCGCCAAATCCGCATTTAAGTCGATATATTTTTTTGTACAATTTACACACCACTATGTAGTTCCAAGTAAAGCAGAGCTTGTGCTATGGGTACTGATAGAACATACTGACAACTCATAGAAATATATATTTTTTGATAAATGCATACATGATATGCATAGAAAACACCCAGAACAATACAAACAATAACACCATGCGGGGATTACAATTCGAACCATCGACAAATGGAAGTACGTCGGTGTGCTAGACCGCTAGACCACCGCTGCACCGGTGACATACAGTGTATCACAATTACAGTACTTTTTTATGCAACAAAATCAATTGGTTATGTTTAAAGGTAAATATATCAGAAAAGAGTATGAGTTAACTCGTACCGAGAGATAAGAATTCTATAATTATTGATGGATACGAAACTTGCAGTAAATAAATAATTTCTTACCATATCGTCAATAAAACTGTCTGTCGCAGTGGTGGCATTTATTTCTGTGGTTTGGGGTACCCCATCCTGTAACATGACATATAATATCTAACAGTGCCCATAATTTTCTATTCAATCACTGCAAACTTCCTGCCAGTTTAATTAGGTAAGCTACCGGCGTTTGTAACTATTTATTTTTATTACTTTATCCTCATTATCAGCATGTTAGCCTGTGTTTAAGTATTCCTGGGCATATTAATTCAAATTAAAAAGTAATTTATTCGTAAAGGACATTTCAGTCACTTTTGCAAGCAATTTTTTCTGATGAATATTTTTTCCTTCCCGCCCAGTTTAGTCTACAGATTAAATTGAGAAGCACTGACTGTACCGAAATTGAACTGTATTTGTTTTTCTCTCTCTGTATTTGTAAGTCTTTTTGTTGACAATACTTATATAGGTGTATTATTAAACAGAAGTTTAAAATTTATTTAATGGTAACTACAGAATATCCTATTGTATCTTATAAAATTTTATTTGACTTCTTTAGACTAAGGACCAGCAAGTTTCTCTATATGTCTAGTATACCCAGACTTTATAATTTTTTTTAAAAATCACGTGGGTTTTCTCCCACACTCGACGGCCAGTAAAACTGGTGTTCAGGGTATTGGAGGCTAAATGTTTTTGTAGATAGTGTCGTAATATATAAACAATACTAATACTTCTAATGCTTAATTTATTTTTTTAATATAGATATTTAATGTACATATATAGAAATAATAGATATAAATAGTTCAGCAAGAAATATTTATTAAAATAAAACTTACGTATTTTAAATAGCCATCGTAGGCAGCTACAAAATAACAGCAAACTGCAGCTCCGCCCGTGGAGAAGAATGTCAGCGGCCGCTTTCCTGTATAGTGTACCAATAATACACACACTGCTGTACCTAGTATTTGCAGAATGCCAATAATGAGCGTCGCATAATATTTGTCAATTGGAGCTTGTAGCCTCTGAAATATGGATACTGCGAAAGTCTTCGCAGAGTCCAAGCAACATGCATTAGTAGGGGTTGTTAATAATGTGGACTTATAATCCCATTGCTAACAATGTACCATGTCAGGTTGACCTTTATGAGGTTCCCCCTGGAAAGCATCACGATAAATGACTAGTAAATTTGTCACTGGGCATATGGGCTAACTTACCTGACCTCATGCTCATCTTATGATCCTCCACTGATGCCCCGCCAGCGTAAACCGTTAGTGCAGGCGTGTGTACCATTCCGTTATCATTCATAAAAAAATCCTTATATATAATTTAAACCCAAATTATAAATAGTGACCAACCAGTAGACTACAAAATGACGAAGCCATCAATTAGATTTTATTTAATTATACTTTGCGAATGTTGCTAATTATACTGGATGATGACGCTACTCCTACGACAATATTGCTTATTAAAAATTTGTACAACTGCATGCTTGCATGACTTGCATGTAAAAAAATAATTCTTGAATAATAGGTGAGCGGCAAAAAATTGCTATGAATACTCCACTGGAACACAATATATAAGGGCTTGAGAGTCTCCGGGTGTGAACATAAGTTAATGAATTAGGATTATCTCGATTGCAATATCTAGTAATGTAATCAGTAACATAGTTTATTACATATGTAGTAGGTACCTACTGACCCATTGTAAACTGGGAACTAAATTAAACAAGTATTGTAAACATATCAGTGTCATAGTTATATCTATCTAGGACATATTACATATTCATTACCATATCTTGTCAATAACACTAGGATTGTAGGTACTTGAAATGTACTTGCATTAAATAATGGACAAAATGCAGTCATTTACTCGATATTGCAATTCAAATCAAAGAAGACCATTTTAGCTTAGTATTTTTTTATCTAAATGTAAGGGCAACAAGCTGATGCCCCACCTGATGGTTAACTGTAAGTGTCGTCTATGTTTGCATGAACATAGGCAATGTATGTACATACATGAACCACGCCTAAGAGATCATTTTTTTATATGTCACTCAAAATAAACATATTGTATTTGGGCATTAAAAAACCGAAACGATATAATACAATGATATAAAATGGCTACAATTATTCGGATAATTATTAATAGTATTAAATGTAGTATAATTATATATTTACTCGTTTATCGTATCACTGACCTGTGGATATCCATAAATCAATGACACAATAATTAGAGCGCGCACAGATTACATTGTAACGCTATATGAATAGGTTAGGTACCTACCTCTTACATGCAAAATATTTTTTAGTTCCTGAACATTCACTAAGCGTTGTTTTTTGATAATATAAATATATTTAATGTCTACAGCACAGATATAAAAAAAATATTTACCTGAAGAGTAGTCATACCACTGAAATGTCCGACGAAAAAACTGAAAGAAATCAACGCAAAAGGCACGTAGAAACTTCGCTCCAAATAATGTGTAATTTTTTCTGTAAACGACTCTTCTTCGTCTTGTAACTCAACTAAAACAAAATTGTAACTAATTAGTAAGAAGTGATTATTAATAGAGTTTATGGGCTTTAACACGCATACTTTTATAGTAAATAAAGCTATTACCTCTCTTAATGTTTCGACTAGGTTGCAGTGACGTGATCACGAGTTGATTAATCTCTGTGACACTTATTTTGTGGAAGATGATCTATTACTACACGACTGAACTATCAAAATGAACAATTGTTGTGTTTCCCAAAGGATAAGTCTATATAATTGACTGCAATTGTGGCAGCACTCCTATAGCTGCTGTGAAAAATCGCCAACCACATAAATCTACAATTATCTACTGAATGCTGTGAATTAATTACTAATTACTAGATAACTTTAGATGCCTATTGTCCTCTCTACTGATCATCAATATCATCCATCAGGGAGGCCATAGAAATAAAGAAATACCCCAATTTTAATTGAGAAGTTGTTTAAAGTTAATTAATAAATCTAATCAATTATACCTAAAATTATTTAGATTTATTAATCACTGTATTCTACGCAGATCTAGTATAGCATCAATCAATAAGTGCACGGATACCGTTCGTACTGTGTGTCACGATTTCGTTGGACAATCCAGTAACGTTAGTTGAAAAAACTGCCGGCACCTATCGAAATTAACATTCGCTGATAGTCCAGTCAGCTCGGGACCACAAACTAGTGCAACTTAGTTGAAAATAGAGAGAGATATACCTTTATTTAACATAAAATAATTCTTGGTAGAAACCGTTTAATCATATTGATAATAGTTTAATTCTTTCTTTCTATTATTATCCTTTTTATTATTATTATTATTACTAATGTGGCAGTGTGTTTGTTTGTTACTTTAACTTTCGGTATCTTAGATTGATAAATAGATAGTATATACTTTATTTGTAATATAGAGTAAAGTAACGGCATCAACAATATATTTATTCTTAACTAATTGACTCAACCAATAGTTTTAAAGATTGGCATTATACCTTTCAATTAATAGTTGTGTTATAGTCAAGTAGCCCCAAGTGACAGTCACACTACATAAGCGTGCATAGTTGTACAGCACGAATGTGTCCACTGACCACTTGATTTGAGAAATACCATGCTCCCACAGAATTCCGGCGTGCACAAATGTTACCGCGATTACCTTGGCAAGTGAATGAGGTGAAGTGAAAGAAGTGGATGCCCAGTCTTTTACATTTTAATCGATCTTTCCTTTCCCTTCTTAGCCCGTGTTTTCTTATACTACAGCATTGAAATATACAATAAATATTTAAACCAGTGTATAAAAATTGGAAATGCTTTAATTACAGCAATTATTCATCTGTAAAAATTTACGAAACCTTTTTTCCTTTTGTACAAGTTTTGAATATCTTTCAACTCCTCTTCAACTGCACTTGCGTTGGTCCACCCTCTCAACCATTGTAAACTCTGAAACACATACATAAATAAAGGTAATATAATAATTGCTATTTTTCAAGTATTCATACTAATTAGTCTATTTCATAATTCGCTAATTACTTTGGTATAAAAAATTACACACGGCAGGAAAGAAAAATACATACCTACATGGAATATGTAAAATACATTTATATCCTATAGCTATACAGTAGCAATTTATATTCCTCATAAAAAGAAGATATTACTTTTATGTAGGCACGAGTGTTATTTAGCTATTTCAGTTTCAAATAAAAGGAACTGGCAAAACATTTGCTCCTTTTAAAGCTTTTCTTACGCAACCTTTAAACTCCTAATTACCTACTTATAATATTATACTAATATTACTATATACTTATCAAAATTTTACGCTGGCGGGGCACTTGTGGAGAATGATAAGACGAGTATGAGGTCAGGTCATTTAGTCCATCGTGACAAATTCACTAGGATTCCCATGATGGTTTCCAGGGGGAACCGCGTGGAGGTCAACCCGATGTGGTATATAGCTAGCGATGGAGTAATCAGTTCATATTACCAAAAAATCCTTTCGCCTTACCTTTAAAATATTGAATAATTACTATACTGAATTAAAGATTTACCTTTTGAGCGTCGTTGTGTCGTTTTTTTGATACCAGCCAATGCGGTGACTCAGGGACAAAACATAGGGCCACCACTGCTAGAATCTGAAATATTATAAATTTCAAAACGGAATAGGTATGTGTACTATAAAAAATATTGGGATATATTAAATTTAAATTTAACAATACACGAAATATGGCTCATTTTCGAAAATAGTTAAATTATGAAAATATACTCGTACAGTTTATAATAAAAATATTATATATGTGTACCGTCCAAACGTAGAAATCACCAATACATAATCTGGTATGGTAATATATTGAATCTATATAAACGTATTGTACCTACGTACCTCAAAAGTCAACGAAAAGTAGAATTTGTATTTTATAATTAAAACATTAATTATTTCAAAATTAAATTATTATGTAATTATATTATTAAATCTAATAATCGAGACAGTAACTGATTTGTAACTCAAATGTAAATAGTAATTTTGACATTGTAATTTGTATTTTATTTATTATATTTCTATTTATTTTCCATTAATATTTCACTTGTATCTTATATTGATTGATATAGACGCCGTAACCAAAATAAAGTTCTACATCAATGTTTCACCTACACTTATCAGTACAAAAAAATACTGTATAATTATTATATTTATCGCATAACGCAATATTCTTCTTGTTGTTCTTAATATTTCATAGGATTTACAGTATAATGTTCATATAAATGAGAAGCTGTTCATATCACTTATTAAACACATCTTGTTTAGAACCGCAACTTTACCTCAAATAAGATAAAAGTTAAGATATTACAAACGCCATGTAAATATATATGTAGGTAAATTATATAGCTTGTAAAAATTTCAACCTACTTACCGTAAAGACAATGTTCACCAGCGCGACCGTCCTCCAATATAGAAACAGTCCAAACAGGAACTGAGTAAATACTCCAAGAATAATGCACAGAGAGCTGGTGGCGGTCAGGGCGCCGCGGAGATGTGGCTGAGTGATCTCCGCTACATATGTCAACACCTACATTATACAAATTTAAATTAAGATAGAATACACATATTTTTAAGACACTGGAATGGCCAACATTTGGCCCACTCATGTATAAACGAAATATCTCCTTTGGAAAGTATATATACTATATCCTGCGGAGATAAAAACCATCGCTCCTAACATAAAAAAGGGCGATCACAACATATAGGTCCCAGTGTTACATGTCCTAAGACCTAACAATGGCCCAAAGCCCCCAATAAAAAAATGACCAACATGCAGATGGCCGGTCTGATGATAGTAACCGTCGCCAACACATGAAGAGCACCAATGACATCACGTTCTTGGTATCCTCATAAATGGATTGTATATCAGGCGTCGTTGTTTGTCGACGTTCTAGTTTTCTTAATTCAGCAATTATAATCTCATACATGAGGAATGTCCACCTGATGGTAAGTGGTAACCGTCGCCTATATACAGCATTACCTACATGACGCCATGATGTGCATCCGTGATATCATTTATGCTTTGCCATTCCAATCATTCAGACTAGGATGTCATGCCTCCATACTCTGCAATTTTACTGACTTAACTCACCTATTAACCAAAACACATGTTAAGCAAGCTGCTTGGTGACTCAATTAGGCTTCACCTATAAGGCACCCACACAGAAGACCAGTACAAAATTTACCTCAGATGATATTCCAGTATACAAAATACCGTCGCCGTCGCCATAAAAGTTATTTTCGTTCTGCGGATCTTCTCCATAGCGAACCTCTACGCAGATAGAATAGTTGTAACATTTTACTTCTAGCTTCCTTGCACTTGTGAGTATGTATTTTGTTATATTGCATAAACATAAATACAATATTTGTATTGTACGGGGATTAACATCTATAGGAATTTGAAACGTGATTCCACTTTATATAAACGATAGAGCAACACAATCATTGAGAAAGATATAAGAACGTATAAACAGAATAAATAAGTTATTAGTATTTATTACTTTTACTTATTAATCTAACAAATATTAAATATTTAAATAATTCTGTACCTAACTATCTAACAAGCACAATTGAAAAAATGAGAAATATGATTCATCGAGTTCAAGAAGAAACTTATTGTTAATTATCTTTATGGTATTTATTAATGTGAAAATTCCCAATTATTACACTATATTCTTACCGGCGCTTCTAAGACTCCACCAGCCAACCCCGTCAGTATTAATGCACCATACAGATATGCCGTGGTACTCGCGTAGTGAAACAACAGCCACGCTACAAAGAATGGTATATTGACCACTTGCATGGCCTTTCTTCGACCTAACGGTGACGTCACTATCCCGGATATAGCGCATCCAAAGGGCACTACTATATAATTGATCGAACCTGAAATAAAAAGATAAATTATCTTAAGTCCAGTCCTCACTAGTCAGGTTACAAAATATCCATCTCAGAAACCAACAAGTAGAATTAGTATTTGTTGTAAGTTATAAATCACTCAAATGTTAAATGTTGAAGCAAAGGTAAACAATTATTTTTATTTGTTTTACAATACAAGGGCTGAAGATCGTGCCTAATGGCGTGCCATGGGAGAGGTCTATGTCCAGTAGAGGACTGCAATAGGGTGATGATATAAAGTTGATACAAATATTATAAAGATGATCTCATCTAATTTAGCCGCCAAGCAGCTTCTTTTGTAAACGATATTTCGGTTGTAGGGTGTAGATTAGGCAATGAAATAGGAAAAAGATAAGACAATCCTGTGGAATGGAAATGAATCCTTTGCGTATGCATGCTTTGGTATCTCGACTGCCACATGGTAAAATGATGTCCATAGTGCTGTTCATGTATAGGCGAGCTTTACCACCCTCTTGTGGGCCGTAAGATAGCTTTATAAAAATGTATATATTAAAATTTTTAACAGACTATATTTGACTCGAAGTCGAGTCGAGTCCGCCTTGTATACTTGTGCATTGAAGCTTTAATAAATAATAAATAATTTAAAAAAAGTGGTTAAATATACAAACTTGATCTCACAAATTCACAAAACAACCGCAAATATAAAGCATCTCTGTATGTCTCTGTAGTCTGATGTCCTAGTTCAAGTTTCGCGATATTAAATGTAAGATAAATAAATAGTTTGTGTGATGTATTATTAGCTGTAGGTACGGAACATGTCTTCATTCTTACTAATGTTATATATTCAACATATATAACGGTATGCGTGAACTACAACAATACAAAAATGATTGTATACATGCATTAAAAGTAATGCATGTATACAATCATCATAGCTACATAGTATTATGACATGTATAAATGGCTATAGTCTCTGTTTAATTTATTGGATAACTTCGAAAGAAATAAAATATGCATAAAAAAGAAAAGAATATTGTAAATATTGTATCATCAAAACATGTATTTAAAAAACGCAACTAGTACCACAGCATCACTAAGAGTATATTCTGGATCACTACAAAAAAGAATAATTTTATCTACCATACTACCACAGTGTGCCGCAATAGCAAATATTGGCATACTTTAATATGTAAATGAAGACAACCAATGATGGGTACACTTCGATTTAGAGAGTTTTCCTATAAATGTGACCTCTGCGATATAAAGGTTGTGTAACATCACAAGGTGAAATGATTACGAGTTCAGTTACTGTGATTGTCATGTGGTGTTACATAGCCTTTATAAATACAACGCCAACTGACTTTGAACCGGAGGTCGCTGTGAATTGAACGAGATGAGGTTAACCACCAATATAATAAACATATACCTAGTGATTTATATAAACACAAAGTACTCTCTATTACCAAAGTACTCGTACTTATTTTTAATAATTATTTCATCACATAAGCATTTTGTGAATAATAAAATACAGATTAAACTATACATAAAAATTAAGGTGTAAACACCTTAATTTTTATAAGGAAAGTTTTATGTTCCGCTAGGACGATTTGTCCTCGAAACAGACACTGATGCACTTTGTGGTGCAAATGTAAGATAGCATAGGTCACTTTTTTTATTTTACTTAAAATCTCATTGTCAGCTTGTAATCATTGTCGACCTACAGCGCGATTTCTGTACGAAACAAACAAAAACTAAAATTATTTATACTTACTTATCCAAGACAATTCAGTATTGGTCAAATGTAATACTTCTCCTTCTACTGGATTTTCTACAGCGGGTATGAGGATAGTTGGGAAGCCAAGAGTCATGCCATAACCTGAAATATAAGTAAAGTAAGTAGAACTGTATGATAGTTCCAAAATAGTTGAGTTTACCTGTTATAAGTATGTACATAGTAGTCGACAAAATCTACGTAGATTTATTCGATTTATGTTTAATACTGAACTTTCTCTATTTCTCTTCATCGCAGGCACGGACCTACTGTAATTTCGGGAAATCTGAAATATCAGTTCCACTCAATTGAATCCGTATACTGAACTGGACGGTAGGGGAAAATTATAATACAAAAAAGCGTCAGCTTCTGTGCCATTAAAATTAATTAAAGAAGAGAAAGAAAACAACAATGAAGAAAATTAAGTCCTCTGGCTATCTCTATGTAAAAAATATAGAAGAATAGATATTTACCTAATAATAACAAATTTTTTACGCTGACCGCTATGAGTTGGGGGAAAGCCGTACGGAAATCTTTCCTGTAGCCGTACTGGCTGTTATTGTTTGTAACTCCATCTTCTGACTGATTATTCCGCGATGACATCTGGAAAATAAAAAAATATTATAATAAAATTTATTGAATAAAAACAAACCTTTACTAATTGAAATTTTAGTCTATATAGGGTTTATAATGAAAATCAGTATTATTACTTTGCAAGCACATTAGTTTGCGGTTTTCGACTTATCCAGAATTCTCGTAGAAACGATTTGGATAATAAATTAGTATGGAAGGGACGTACTTCAACAAATAAAGTACAAGTTCTGTGAAGCCTAGGTAGAACTGAACCGGCAGTCGTCAAAGCTCAAGTGCTTTCCATAGTTATCAACTTCTTGCTCATGATATTCGTGAAGTAAATATTCATATAGTCTTCTATACCTACATTTGCAAACGTAGTGAATTCCAAAATATACGAGTTGTTTTCATAACTTTTGTATATTGTAATCCGAGATAAACATAAATTAATATTCCTGTTGCTCACCGCGTACCTACTGTCTTCACCACTACTGTGAAACCGCTTTCACCTTGAGCTATAAGAACTAAGAGCTAAAAGTACGCCCTAGAAATAAATATCTTGTTCCAAAGTATGGTAAATTTATTTGTTTATGTGCTTAAGTAAACTATCTTTATATATTTATACTGTCCTTTTTCGTTACCACTTCACTAAGTCACTTTATCTGTAATAAGATTACTTGTTGACAATTATTTATCTCTTTGTCTAGGATAAATAAATGATTGATCATAAATAAATCACGCTGGACTTTGGTTATTTTTAATGTATATATATACTTTCTGCTCATACTCGTACAGTCTACAATTACCACGATGGCCAGGCCGCCTAGTATAATAGTGTTTTTTTTTCACTCCTAGTTCCATCTTTCATGTTTTCATATAACATATAATAATAATCTACATATAATCTCAGGACAATTCACACAACACTCCAGTTAAAGAAGCTAAAGCTGCGATAACTGATACAAATATATAAATATATTTTTTTCGTAAATACATACATATTATACACAGTAAATACCTAGATCGATACAAAGAATCATATCCATGAATACAAATGATTGTGCCGTGCTAGGAATCAAACCCGCGACTATAGAAAGTAAGGCGATGTGTTAAACCGCTGACGCAGACCGAGGCCGTCATGTATTAACCATAATTATAAGATATGCAAATGATTTGCTTATAAACAGCGAAAGAAGAGGATTGTTTAATCTGAATGATGGTAGACCATAAAGGAGTGCTAAGGATTTTTGAAAATAGGTATTATTACGAACTAGGGATTACGTACAAATTTATTAATTCGGTTCTCTTATGTACTACCAGCAAAACAAACATATCGATAACATGAAGATGCTTTATCTTTAAATATCAGAGATAAGATAAGCTAGAAAAAAACCAGTTCTCTTCGGTTCCAGTTTAAATCAATTGATGTTTATACCTAAGTAGGTATACACATCTATGTATACACGTTTATACTTATGTATCTAAGTAGATACAACTAGTTTTCTCAGTAACTTTTTCTTTTATTGTAAGTACTTTGATGGTAAAGTAATAAAAATTACAAAAACATTTAAAATTGAATAACTATGTCAATATTACATGTTTTCTACAATTTAATTCAAAATGTATATAATATGTAAGACTCAACATATGATATTATCTGTGGAAAAGTTTATACAAATGTTTGCACGATAAACGGCCTGTATTGCTGGAACAAAAGAGCTCTCCGTTGCTCCACTTTAGCTGAGTTAGTTTAACAGAGAGTGCATACTGCTGTTCATACACTGAAATTTGTATAAAGTGCATTTAGATAGAAATAGCAGAAAGCAATCGTGAGCCGTGAGCGCTTCGAGATTTCTCAATACTAGAAATATTGATATTTTGTTCCAAGTCTTAGATGCGGAAATAAAGTATAATTTTAATTGAATAATATTAAGAAAAAGAACAACAATATATAATAATATTATATTAGTCTAGTTATGAGTTAGGACAGAGTAAAGATTATTTGATAATATTATGCTATGTATGAGTTATGAACATACTCGTATATATATCTACTCAATTAACTATAATTTCGATCAAATAATTGTACTTCTTTAAACACCGTGTAAATATTTCAATATTAAACCTAAGCTATTACTTACATAGAACTGTTAATTAAGTATTTTGTACCATTCGATATACGTTAGAGTACAACACACTGGTGATCAAGCAAGACGGCTCTTTACAAATTAATTAGTTATTATGACGCAGTCATTGCTGAGTATTGTTGAAATAGGTATGTACATATATACTAAAAATACATATATTTTGGAACAACAAAACAGGTCCATTGTTGACTGTTGATGAAATTTACTTGGCGTTCAGGAAAAAAATCCGTTAAAAATTCACGCGAAACAGTCTCTCGATAAAAATTGGTACTGCTCATTAGCACAGTATTATAGTGTTTACAGTATTATTATTGCAAAATAAAAGTCTTTTGTATTAGTAATTATTAATTAATACATGTACATTCTATCACCCAGACCCCGTCATATTCGTGGTCAACATCAAATATCATATATTTAGATGTTCTACGTGGGAATAACCAATGCTAACATATCCATTACCTAGTAATTTCCAAGAACCAATCGTCTGAGGTACTATGTAAATTAATTAAAAAAAAAAGAATAATGAATGCAACAGTTATTACAAATTTAATTCATTTAGTCATAAAATTATGATTATTTAGTACCTAGGTAATATTTTCAAATTAATTGCACTACAAAATAGATGCACCGGAAAAATAACAGAAAAAAGGAATGCTTTGATAGAGTTAAAACGCCAGACTAAACATGATTCATACTGAAATGAAACTGTCAAATGATCACGATAAAGATGATATGCTCTGACATTAAACACGACAATCAATTACGCCTAACTGAAAGGAACATCAAAATAAATATAAATAAACTATAAGCCTACAACCTTTTTACAACTTATGAAGAACAAATGTCCAAATTGAGGTTCGATGAAGTCAATATTAGTGCTATGTGAGAATGGATGGATGTTTGTTACTCGTTCATGCAAAAACTACTAAAAGGATTTTGAAGAAACTTTACAATAATATAGCTCATACATCAGAATAATACGTAGGCTACAATTTAAAAAGATAATATACAAATTAGACAAATTATATATAACATAATATATATACATATGTTAAGTAAGGGTGATGCAGACGCTGTTGCGCGGTATAGGTAGTAAAGTATAAGAACTACAGATAGTAGACCTTATTCTTTCTCGATAACATTCACCATCACACAATGGGCAAACTAACCTGGCCTCAAGTTCGTCCTTCACTGGTGCCCGCAAGTGTAAACAATTAGCGCGGGCGGGTATACTATTTTCTTCATCATACAAAAAAATCCCAATTAGTTAAATCAGCGCTGAGGCTATGTAGAAATGCTGATTGGAAATTCATTCAGCTTTACTAGTAAGTTTAACTTTGAATTTTGAATAGTACAAATATTATAATAATATATACTGATGTATTGCTGAATAAATCTCTTCATTTATGTACCTGTGGTTATTATTGTAGAAGGAGACCTTGGGCACGGTTGAAGTATCATCTATGCCAGTCATCATTTTTTAGTGCTATTGTAGTATCTCCACGAATATAGTACATACTAGCTAATCCCGCGACGTCGTACTACGTCCATTCTTCATGCAAATCGATTGAAAAGTGACAGACATAAAGCTTACTACAATATACCAGTATTATTCAGTGTAAGCGGGCAAAAACGCACAGATAAACTGACAATTATTTCAAATAAATATATAATGTCTACTTAAATAGATAAAAATATTTTGTTTTATAATTAAGATTCGTTCTTGTTATTTGATTTATTACAACCAGCGATCATCAACACTCGGCAATCAGATTCAAAGTACATAGGTACGTAGGTATGGTAACTTTACGCAATCATAAGCATTCCGTATAGTTAGGGCTGCCATCCGTCCGGGTTTCCCCAGATATTTTCTAGTTTAGAGGGCATCCTGGGAGCGTCCGGTGTATGAATTCTTTTAGGGTTAATATTAGAGTACAAGTATTGTTGTGGTGGGGTCTACTATTATAAAATCGTAATCGGTGAGGAGGCTGATATACACCTAACAGGTATATCAATAATTTGTGTTTTATTTTAAGAAGAAATAGAATCGAACTGATTATTAAAAAACAAACAATGTATACTGTAACAGTATGTAACAAACTGTAATAAGATTCCTGTTTGTTAGGTACATTTAAAATGATGTTATAAATATACTACATTAAATTTTAAGGTCTGGAAATAAATAAAAAGATGTTATGACATTTTTAACTGCTTTTTATTACACTGACTATGTTTAAAATAACCTGTTGACATGTCCAGCTTCTGGACTCTTAAAACAGGGGTTTTGACGCATCTTGTCCGGTCTTGCTTGCTGGCAATTTTAGAGATGATAACCCTACGTATAGTGTATGAAGCATTAGAGTAACATTGCATACTAGGTATAGTTTAGTACAGGTACATCACATTTGACGTACCTATAGGTCTACAATTACATAAACAAATGTAGGTTTACATTGAAATTCTGATCAGAACATCCAAAGATATACTGTAGTTATATATGTAGTATACTCATCATCATCATCATCATCTGCTTCATCCTTATCCCATTTATTTGGGGTCGGCGTAATATGTCTATATATGTAGTATACTATACCAAATCAATTTGTATATATATAGCGTGCAAAAAATGTTTCGGAATGCATTAAGGCGATTAGATTTATATTTTTTTACTTATTTAATTGGTGGAATGTCAAATTCGTTGTTTAAACACTTCTAAAAATTAGCTTTTGTTAAAAACCTAATAATTTTATACTAGATATGTTATATGATATATGTGATATGTTTTATGTTAATTAACTGAACAATATGATACTTTATAACTATTCATAAGTATGTTAAGGTTACATTGGTGAGCCTAATTGCAATTGGGTACCTATATATATCGCCTATGTATGACATAATTTTCCTTATAGTATGTAGGTACCTATATTTTTCATGTGTAGGTAGGTAAGTTCAATTTGCGATTTCCATCGCGAGTTTTATTCTCACGCTATTGTACCCGGCTTTTAATTATTAACTAAAAAACAAATTTGTACATCTACAAAAAATATAAACGCAGTTCAAATATAATAATCAAACATGCAGGGTTGAGTGACAATATTTTCAACGAAATTGACCCATTGTACTTTATAGGTACCATTTTCTACTCTTATAGCTAGCGTATTTTTTACGAAAGGATTACGTAATCAAATATAATTGTGTATTGATTATTGGGTATTAATTAAACTTCAAATATATATTATAATTTAGAATGTTTAATACTGAGTATTATACATTATATTTAGAAAATAATAGGTTTATTGTTATACTTTTTGTACCTTTATAAATACATTAATTAAGTATATTAGTTGGTTAATAAGTACGTACTTAATAATAAATAATAATAAAAGCATACTTTAATATTGTACAATGAAATAATTATTTTAATAATAAATTATTGGTAACTGATAATAAGTAAAAATAAAGGTGCATACCTTTAAAGAAAAATGTGTGAAATCAAGTCAACTGTCCTAAAAAATAATATATATATATATATATTTAGACACACACATTTATATTAGGGTGTGAGGTACACTATCTTTAATAGGGAATAAGCATTTCCTTATTTCGAGGAAAGTATGTTATAGCGATTTAAGTATACATATAGTTTACCTATGCAATAAATTATATTTCTTTTTATAAAAGAACAAAATTTTATTTTTAATTAGAATAGAATAGAATAGAAAATCATTTATTCAAATAAACTTAATTTAAGCACTTTTGAATAGTCAACATTTTTTTAAATCTACCGCCTATTCGGAAAGCTGTCTCATCACAAGAAGAATAAGCAAGAAACTTGTGTGTTGCTCTTTTAAACAATCCTTGTAAGTTTACATTTTACAAGTCGAAACGTGTGAATACAAACTACCAACCAGCACTAATTTATTTAGGCTCAAATATAAAAACACAATAAGATTAAATCACATTACATTTTATATCCAATATAGATTTACTGTAGCTAATATTTATTTTGGTGAATCAAATCCTATTAACTAACTTACGAACCAAATGAGGAAGTACCATTAGGCGGTTCTTTACACTATATCTTATTTAAAATTATGTATTGCATTTAAAATCGTCAGAGTGCCAGAGATTCAGATCATTCTATTACATTATAACTTAACAACTATTTACTATTTATATACGGAAATAATATAATGAAACATTATGTAAACCTAGTAGACATATGTATATATATATTAAGTTGTTATAAGTAAAGTACGTATCAACAGATACTCACTTGTATTTTCTACTGTAGCAAAGTAGTCAGTTAGTGATAGAACACGAATTGCAGGATAACAATGTCTTACACCGGTCGATGGATAAAGTTTTGTAGCACACGACCAACACAGAAACCGTCTGTTTTAATACTAGATGGCCAAAGTCAAGCTAAATTACATGATTGCCAGCCATTGAAGTGAATGGCGAATTGGTGATACGAGGCGACAGATTTCGCCTACTAAAGAAACGTATGACTAGACAAGATATCATTGATATACTTGCAAACAGATGAGTTTTATCCCAGTAACATAATATTTGTGTGTAGTTTTAGGTAATTGTAATTTAAATATAATATATAATTAGTAGTATAAAAAAATCCAACTAGATTAGGACACGTGACGTAAGGGATAACTGTAACCTATATACATATGAAAATAAATGCACTACAGACATCATGTGACACACGTAATACCATGACGAGTTGCCGTTACAGAGAACTAAAATGTTATCCTTTGTGATGTGCCTCTTATCCCATAACTTCACAACCTATTCGCAACCTACTACATAAACACAGCTTACATACCAATCTACTTAAGATTTCAAACCAATCTGCATGCCAACAAAAGTAGGTGTGATTGAGGTACCTATACCGAGGCAACTTTTTACAGTCTACCTCTGGTAAATATAGATTTCGTATACACGATAGGTCCTGGGTACAGAGGCGAGGGGGTATGGTATCAATGTGTTAGTATAGGTACATGTTAATATTATTTATTTTTATCTATTCATATATCCATATAAATAAACTTGGAGTGTCTGTTTGTAATATTGAAATAACCGTTTTTACTATATGAATATACATATTACCGTATTGATATTCATATAGTAAAAATTCATTTCATTTCGCGCTGCTCGGTTATGGAACAAACTACCAGTACAGATACAGGAAAGTCCATCAATTGGTTGTTTTAAGAAAAGGTTGAAATCACACTATTTATCGACCTTAGTATGATTAGTTTCATCATGTATTTTATTATTTGTATTTTGTGTAATATATGTAGATATCTATAGTAATTGTATATGTATGTATATATATATATATATATATATATAACTTTTATTAATGTTTATTTTATTTATTATTGTATATCTTATTATAATTATAATATAATTAGAATTTTATTTAATTTGTTGAATTTTAAATGTTTTATTTTTCTCAACTTTTGGACATTTCAACATAATAGTGTTAATTGCACAGGTGTTACCTACTCACTACTAGCTATGCCACATTGTTGGGTTGACTGGTAGAGATCTCTCTTAGAGATAAGTCCACCTTTGCTCACTTTGTATATGTTTAAGTTTAGAACTGTATTTAAAAGTGCAATAAAGAATATAATAATAAAAAAACGGTTATATACCAAAAAACACTTTTTACAATTTTTGCCTGTCTGTCTGTCGATCTGTTCTAATCTCTGAAATGGCTAGACCATTTTTGACGGGACTTTTATTGGTAGGTAGCTGATGTGATAAGGAGTAACTTAGCCTAAGTTTTATTTTTGATTTTTTTTTATTTTCGAAAAATAAAGTTAAATTCCACGCGGACGAAGTCGCGGGGACACCTAGTTTTAAATAAATTTAGACATTTCACTTGTCTCATGCACATCGATTATATCAAAACAGTATTAATAATAAATTATTGTACTATACTTGTATATATGGTAACCAATGGAGAGATATTTGTGGCGAGCCATTTCCTTAAAGGTAATGGACTTTTGAGTATTTTCCTTTAGAAATTTCAATAAGTGTACGTGGAAAATGAGTTTCTTTTCGTAGGTTTAAATAATCCTATTATGTTCCATAGCTTTATTTTTCGTGGTCAATCCCTAACAAATTATTATGATATTTTTTAGTTAAAAGTCGAGTGCATATATTATACCTATGTACTTACGTTATGTTACTTTTAAAGATAAATCTATTTTTATTAGTAGTCGCACAGTTCTCGAAATCGACCATAATTAATTTAAATTATAAATTTGAACATTCACTTATATTTGTCATTTAGTAGGACTATATAGACATATTACATTAAAGACAAACCACTAAATCTATTCTTAATTCTTAATCTATTCTCAATTTGATCACAGTCTTTAACAATAAACAAAAGAAGTGTGCGTCATGCGTGTCAAATACATTTATGGTAGTGTGTGTAATTTTTTTATTGATTTAATATAGTTTAAATAAATAATTTAAAAAAAAAAAGGATTTTCACTCCTTCTCTATATATTGTATAAGTGTGTGAAATTTCGTACTTCTCCCTCCGCATACAAGGTTTTTGCTTCTCGTATTAATATGTAGGTAGAGACTACTTATTCAGACATATATACATACAATAAATTCCTTGCTTATGGATTCATAGTCCGGAATAGTTTCAATCACAGATAACATATGGTTTCAATATACTCGTCCATTATTGATTATGGGTACCTAAAAAAGTACCAATGGATTGTTACTTTGTTGATCATACGATATATTGATAATTCTACCCCTTCATGAATTGTGAACGTAACCGTATAAAATACCATAATTTATGCACTATTCCAGGTTTTAATATTGGTAAAACTACTACTTCAGCTTTTTACATCCGATATTTTTTTCTTTATATATTTTTAATATTTTTGTTTTTCTAGTTGTAAATATAAATTATGTAATGATAGTTATGACGTATTTAGACAATTAAGGCCAATATAAAATATTTATTACATAATAAATGTATTCACAGCCATGTAGATTATGAGTGGTGTCACTACTAGATGGGTATGTTTCTCCAGGGTATTTTGTGTATATTTCCTAATGTATTCAGTCAAGTTATTTGTCATGGCCTGCTGCTCCTATATCGGCCTTGGGATATTAGTAACGACTGCGCTTTCTCGAATTACCTTCGATACGATTTGTCCTTCGGAATGGGCATGTCTGACACTGTCACTCTGGTTTGTGTTACTTTACAAAATTTATATTTTTTAATAATTTCTCTTTGAATATTTATTTGGTAAAAAAATGAAGATTTTAGGACTAAATATTTTCTGGTTCTTGATCCGTAACACACTTGGTCTTTACACTATATTCTTTATTGTAACTTTACGTGTAATGTACTTTTATGAAAATATGATTTAATTTATTATTAATAAAATTGATTTGCTTTTATATTTTATATCTCATTCATACATTTATAAACTTAAGAGCAACGCTCTTGTCGGTGGAGCTCTTGCCACTTTCTACGATCTTCCATCATACTCTTTAAGTTCATTACTCTTCATACGACATCAAGTCTCATAGTCTGCATATTTAATTTAGGTTTGTTTCTTATTTATATCAACTAGTATCTTCATATTATCTTCAGGTATTTCGTGAATTAACCGAGGTCGACTATGGATGTATAGTGGAAATTGTGACAGATGTTACCGATGTAAAATTACTGGTCGTGATACGTTTCCCTACTAACATTAATACAAACTGTATTGCTAATAGCGACGTTTTTATTGTGATCAAGAAAAACAAATGTCTGCGGCTTTGTGATCTAATTGGGAAGAGAGATGTAAATTCACCGTATTTTGTAATGTCAGTGAAAAGTAGGATACGATTTCGGTTCATGAGCAACAGCAGTTTTAATTCGGAATTTAATGTGAGTATACAAATAGGTATTTAAAATTAAACTAAAAGTTCAATTGGTAACGTCTCGAACGTTTTAGAATTTATTTGTAGGACACGGTATATCAATGGCAATTTGGAATCGATTATTGTTATGTTTTTTAATAATTATATATTTGCGATTTAGTCCAAGAAGTCCTTAATTCATATTAAATATTTTAGAGCAAGAGCCCACTATAGGGTTAAATAATGTACTCAGTAATACCTTTGACAAATAACTAAATTTGTCAATATAAATAAATGTCAAGAGTGTTTATTAAAATTGTGACTTCTATTTTGATTATATTACAGGCTAATGTATATCAAGTCACAGCTACCTCCGCTCGGAATAAACCTGCTACAGGGTGCAACTTCAGAAATGAAACCAAATGTGTAATTGGTGACGACGAATTTTGTTTTACCAGCGGCGTCGTTTGTGATGGCATCAAGAACTGTGGAGTCTCTGATTGGTAGGTTGTTTGCAAATTATAGATATTGGCACAAAATACAATACAATAAATATTAAAAAATAAACTGGCTTTAAGAAAAAATAAATTCATTTGAGTTTTGTTGCATTTGTCCCAATTATGAACTGGACTGTAGGGAAAAATATTCATACAAAAACTTGAAGTTCATAACCGGCTAAAACGTCTTGCATGAAAAATTATTTTTGATTTTATTGGAATACGGCTTGTATGCAATGAACACTAATGTGGACATTGCTAATAATATAAGTCAATGTCAGGATGAACTCCATTACCAGAGCAGGACATGTATAAATTACGATGATTATAGATTTTTGTATACCTAATGTTAATTTTTTTTTAAACAAAACGTAGTTATATTCATAATCCTGGACCATCTGATAGATCCAATTCAAACGAATATGGAAGTTACGGCGGCCTGAGCCAAACCTACTGGCGATGCCCTCACAATAAAGTACTATCCGTAGGGCGAAAGTTGGCCTTCAACCTATCCATAAATCCTTCCGCGGGTTTGGAGTGCCATCTGCACACGCCCACTATCTTCCGGTGAAGCTGTAAAGGCCAGCTGTGCCAACAGCATTAGAGCAATCATAGAAAAAATATTCTTGCAACGCCATTTAGTCCCAAGCTAAGCAACAACTCAGGTAAGCTTAGGACTAAATGGCCTTAATTAATTGTTAATTAAATGTTGTGTGGTACTAGACAATAGACATATGTTTTATAAATATTATACTTACATATTTATATATATGAAAACTTCCAGACCAATAATAACAATCATACTCATGAATACAAATTAATGTTTGTACGAACCCATAACCATCAGAAGTAGGGCGGTATGCTAAGCTACTAGACCACTGAGCTCGTCAAAATGATGATAAGGTTTCAAGAATCTGTCTTAGTACCTAATGGGGTACCACAAACAGTAAATTCGACAGCCTCGGTGGTTTAGCAATTTAACACACCGCTTTACTTCCGATGGTAACGGGTTCGATTCCTCCCACGGTATTCTCTCCCCCTGGACCAAAAGCTGAGTACCCCTTTGATTATATCTTAGTATTATCTGCAGGTTTGATGAACGTAAATCAGATTGCGGTTTACCAGTTGAGCACCTCGGGTATGCTCCAGTTATAGCCGTAGTAGCTGTAATTGTTTGTGCAATTATAGCAGTTGGTCACAAACTAATGCAGTATTTACCACCTACAACTGGCTCGTTCTTCATTTTCAACGCTAATGAAGACAACAGATTATGTATTGATACAGTGTTCATGTCTCCAGAGAACGACTCTTTAGAATCGCTAAAAGTGAAAAGAGCTTCACTCATACCGGTACGTTATTATGACGTATATTGTTATTTTGTGTTGTTTATAATTTACCATTCCCGCTATGTTAATAGTTTGTCAACAAACGGTGCTGGTTAGTTTTTTAAGTAACTTGAATTCAATAACTATAGCAAATAAATTGTTTTTACGTGAGTTTATGACAATAAAGAGTGGTGGCGAGAGTGCTTCCATGAATGAAATATTACTCGTACCAGCTGTTGCCTCTGACTTTGTCTGCGCAGTATTAGTAGGTACTTCGACTAGTCAATTTTATATCTATTATTATTATATTTACTTGAGAAGTTATTAATTCCATGCACAAACTTCTATGCACCCTCCTAAAATTTTTGTGTCAGGTACAAAAATAGCCTATAACTTTCTCAAACGTAACGAAAAAACATTTATAAATATCTATTAGAACATTAAAATACGTTCGCGTCTTATATATACATCTATACATATAAATACAATTGCGGTGTCTGTTTGTATTATTGGAATAACCGTTTTTTAGTACATGCACATGAATATAAATGTGGTACATATACCAAAAAAATACTTTTTACAATTTTTGTCTGTCTGTCAGTCGGTCCGTTTGTTCCCGATAATCTCCGAAATTGCTGGACCGATTTTAACGGGACTTTTTTTGGCAGGTAGCTGATGTAATAAGAAGTAACTTAGGCTACTTTTGTTTTAGAGAAATCCTTTTATTTTAGAAAAATAAAGTTAAATTCCACGCGGACGAAGTCGCGGGAACAGCTAGTGATTATATAAACGTTAATAACCATGTATCGTAAGTTTTATATGGTAACACAGATAAACTCACAGGCAGAATATAGTACTATATAAAATAAATTATTCATTTTTTAAAGATATCAAACTCTTCATCTAGCGTTAGAATCGAATCATTAAACCAAGTTCAAGAGAGCGAACTATCCAGAGTGATTACACAAAATGTACAGGATCAAAATATGATAGAGGTAAGTACATACTTTCTGTACCTATGCAATAAATACCTTTTTATAAATAGAGCATTAATCGTACATAATCATAGTTATTGAATATTTAAAACACTGTAATGAAAGAACGTTTGTTTAAGTACATTGTCCGGAATGTGATATAATTAACAGTGGTATTGATATTTCTCTAATTGTCATATGTTCTACGATATCTGTATACATAAGGTAATTAATCTACTTTGTTAAAGGTACCTATTTAAACTGAATAACATGGACACCAATTAAATTTATTGTAAATACAACTTATTACTAATTAATTATTAATTACTATCAGCAATGTCATTATGTTATCTGTGGCAATATCAACTATTTGACTGACGAGGTATATATCTATATGCAAATAAAATTTACATTCAATAGTAAAATACCCATTTCAATTTTTCATAAAAATACCGATATTGCTTTGGTACGCTTTCGGCCTTTTCGCCAATGTCTAGCTTCTAACAGTATTTTAATTCATAAGAACAGCAGAATTATCAAAGACGTCCCACTATGCATTCAGTGAAAGATAAAATACAGAAAAAATTGCGATGTGTGACGAGAAAGGAACAAACGTCAGATAGAATACATGTATATCACATATAAAAACAAATTCCACTTATACAGTACTGAAAGAATGGCTTTTAGGTTTAATTACGTAGCATAGAATTTCATTTTTATGTGGTCGTAATATATTCATATGGTACAAAAGAATTTTATAGGTTTAAGTACAATAAGTAAAATGCCTAAATTTCAGCAGTCATAATAGCTACAATGTCGCCCATAGAGTTTCATGTCTCGTTACAGTCATTTACAGGATAAAATTTTTATACATTGTATGAAATACTATTGTATTATAATTATTGATGAAGTATACCTACTTGGACAAAAATATGTAATTTTAGGTAAGACAAAACTTCCTAAATATCATGAAGTACCTAATAACGTTTTTTATGTTCCTACTTTGTGTATCTATATGGCTGTAACAATAAACGTTTCTAGATTTACACCTGCTATAGATATCAGTCGTAGTGTAGAATTCTAAATGACCCCTAATGAAGATTTCAGTCTCAAGTATAGACATACATTGAATATTTAGGTAAGATTCTTTATTTGTAAAACATGCGAGATTATATAAAGAGACTAGCTGAACCCGCCAACGTTGTTTTGCCATACAAAATTAAAATCTCTATTAAAAAATAGGGGTTGGTGATAAAAGGTTGAAAATTTAATTTAAGTTGTATTTTAATATCACATAATAAAAAATAAAAACAAAAATATACTGTACAAAATAAAAAAAAATTTGGTTATAAAAATTAGTTATAAACCTATTCTCAGACCTACTGAAAATACATATAAAATTTCATCAAAATCGGTCAAGCCGTATCGGAAGAGAAACCTTTGACACGAATTTTATATAATTACATATTAGATGTATGGTACTGCTTAAATTTTATAACCCTTGGTTGCATGCATGTGAAAGCATGTGATCTCTGGTGGTGCAGTACTACTCGCAACGGAATAGGTCGTGGACACGGCGGCGCGGGGCGCCGCGCCGCTCCATTAGCACATGAACCCGTCCCGGATCCCGCACACCGACATCGCTCCTCTAATTTCTTCTTCTAAAAATCCTAAAATTCTGGGTTACTTTCTAGAATTTTCGTTTTTAATTGAAAAATTGTTTCTCTCAATATATTGTCTTCACAGTCACTAACTTCGTGTTTTTCAGTTTCTACAGAATCCATACTCTGGGTTGATATTCTGGAACGTTACTGTGGCCGGAAACGTATTAATTTCCGTGTCGTATGGCACGGAATTCAATCATTACAAACCCAATGTCAGAACTGATTAATGGCTGAGAGAATCTTCACTTCCTCGATCATTTAGTAAATACTCTTACAATGGGTATGTTTGTGTTATCATTACAAGAAATACTTGAACTCGATAAAATATTATCTACCTATGTCAGTATTTATTACTGAAGTTTGAATGCGAACTGGGGATCAGTATTATGCCTATTAGGTTGTTTACATAGACATTAGGAACATTTCTAAATATTTCTCCGATTATTGTCTGTTGCGTAGAATGAATAATAGCATTTACTACTAACATTTGCACATTCCAAATCATACGTTCCTTTGCACATGGAACATTGCAAGAATATTTTTATTGGTAGCGCTTTCAAGACTTTGAAGACATTATGTTATTATTTATTTACAGCGAACTCTGTCATCCAATAAGGTAAGTTAAGTAAGTGTGAATATTGTGCTATGTATTTCATAAGTTGTACAAACTTATGAAATACATAGCACAAGATTCACAATAACTAGCCGTTGTTTCGAATCGCTACCAGATGGCGGTAAATCTCAATTATATTTTGTTAACTTGCATTCTGTCGATAACATGAGACATAAGATATGAAAAGTTCTAGCTCTTCTTTTAAACGTTACTAAATTTTAAACTGTATTACTAATTTTCTATTTAAGTGTATATTTAGCTCTTATGGTAAAGTATTACTTATTTAGGTACTATACGGGTTATTAGATTAGATTAAATTTTTACAATTTTTACAATATTATGCTATTTTCACGGTTTATTTCTTCTTGTCATTAACATAAGAGAATAATAGGTTGATATAATGAACTATTTGTTAACACTGTAACACAAAACATTATAGGTAGATACTATACATAAATGTCTATGAGATGAATTCTTTGAAGAAAACAGACTAACTCAATAGTCACAGACTCTTTTCTTTATTTTTATATTATGTAAGAATATATGTATAATATATATAGTTACTAATATATCTAAAGCTAAATTACGAAGTAGGTACGGTTAATATACAAAGTCATCCATCGAAGGATGTCACCTCGAATAGCGATAACTTGGAGCTTATGCAACAGAATGTAATGTAAACAATCAAAGCATTAATTAATATTATTATAATAATATCATACATCTGTTAGATATTCGTTAAAAACACTAAATTGGACATTGTAGATCGCCCCTTTAAGAAACCATATTGAAAATCATTTAATGATTGATTACAATTGATTTTTTTTTCTGACTACTCTAATGCTGTTGGCCGCAGCCTTTACAGCTTCACTGGACGATATTTTTGTTGCAGAATATCATTGGACGTACACTATTTTTCAAACATTTTCGAGATATGGTACAACTTAGAAATGGATCTGTAGTTCTCGATATCAGTTCTGCGGCCTAAATATTTCCATATTGAAGGTACTTTGCTTTCAATTAGTAAGTGTTCCAACAAAAGATTGATAGGGATCGATATACTTTTACAACAAGCCACAAGAAAGTGGGCTGATATGTCATCTGAACCTCGATTTTGGTGTTTGGTGGTTTTTCGACTTCGTCAATCAGGATGGACACAATATTAGTATCGCTGTATTACATACTGCTACTAGTGTCTATAATATTATCTATGGTACTAGGAATTAACTACGAAAAGGTGCATGATTTTATATAGGACCAGAAGTTAGAATTATATCAAAAATAATTTTCAACAGAATTTAAATTTTATTTCATTGCTTTTATGAGCCACTGTGTAAACTAGGGTGGTTTAAAACCTTATTATATATTTTAGAAGGTATATTCTTATTACGAAGGCATTAGCCACTGAATAGAAACAATTCGCAGCTGAAATATCGTGAAGTCATCTCTGTAACCCAGTCAAATTCCAATAATTAATTATTAATTTTGTCATAATTGCCTATTGTAGAAATACTCTTTCGATAATATCAATATAGACAAGAAGGCCAGTGTAATGGGTGTGTGATGGTATCAATGTTTCGTCGTAATCCGATACTTTTACGTCCGTATTCGAAAGAACGAGATCTATTTTTCGGGTTTGCGATAAATTGTGAGTACATAGCTCATCTATCAGTAACATCGGGACGGGGGAATCAGTATATGGAAACATGTCCATTTTCTTGATCACATACCCAGCTAACGCCACTATGATCAAAGTCGCCCACAATCAAATATTTATCGTGTGGTTTTAATAATAAATTAGCATTTAATTTTAATAAAAAATAATTACTAACTGTTGGAAAAAAAGAAAAACCCAAGTTTTGTTTGCACAAATATGTAATTGTAAGGGAACTCTATTTAGTTGATGCTTAAATGATAAAATGAGCCATAAATCCTCCACAGTGGAAATGAAAGTGAGGTAAAGCGTAGCGGATAGGTCTCTTAGTGTAGCAATTAAACCTCTCCTATTGGTCCCCTGTCCAATTCGAACGTGGATGGAAATTACCACGGCCTGAACCTAGGTGTGAACCCCCTAGCGGTGCCCTCAGACTAACTAGAGTCGTATCCGTCAGGCGGAACTTCATGCTCAACTGGTGCCATGCCAGCGTATACCGAAGAGCAATCGGGTGCCCCAATATATATTCATATTTGAAAAAATATAAATATATATTGGTGCACCCGATTGAACACAATGGTGTGGTACGATTTAGTTCAAATATGTCAGGAGGAATGTAGTTGTTTTAGATCTTAGTCTGCGTACTGATACTAAATAGTTATTATGCACTTAAATTAGACGTCTCAAATTTTACATAACATACAAATGAGATTAATTGTACTGTATTAATGATATGAACCCAAAAGTAGTTTCCTAGAAACGCTGATACACTGAATAAGCCAGTTGGATAAAATTTTCCATAGCCGTGTACCGTCGTCGATATGCATTCCTAAGCCGAGCGGTCATTAACGTAAGCGCAATATATACTATACTATGAATCTCAATATTGTATATGAAAGCAACGTAACTAAGGGAACGATTATATTAGAAGCTATAATTGGACAAATATTCACTATAAATAAACGTAGACCGGTTATGCAGTAAAATACATGAGAACAAAAGCGAGATTCGCTACTGTTAAGCTCAGTATTAGCAATGCTTTCAAAAATATTGCTAAATACTTAGAAAACAATATAAAATGCTCATGTCGCGGTGTTCCAATAACAACGAACTCCTCCAGAACGGGTTTACTGATTATTATTTATGAAATTATTTGTTCATATCGGGTAGAATCAGACAACTATTTTATTTTTCATACCTCTCAATGATATGAGTGGGTAACCCACCTCTAAATATATATATATTTTTATATAATGAATATATTTGAGACTGTATTGACTGGGATGAATACCGCCGAAAAATAGCCGTATGTGCATATTGAATAATAGCCGTAGTATGCTACGGTTGAAAAAATTAGCATATGTAAATTTAGACATATACCTACTGCCCATATTTTTGGATTATGATTTTTTTTTCATCCAACGTTAATAGTTTTATCAGTACTTATAAACTGGGCACATGCCCAAGGGCCCGCGACGGATCGGGGCCCCCTAGTACAGTTTAGTTCATACTCCATTACGAAATGACAACCGATCGATAGCTATTCTACTCTCGCCTGAAAGTCCAGTCTTAACGAATGCTTACCGACTACGGTCAATTTAAATAGTATAAAACAAAGTCGCTGTCACCGTCTGTCCATCCCTATGTATGCTTAAATCTTTAAAACTACGCATCGGATTTTGAAGCGGTTTTTTTTAATAGACAATGATTCAAGAGTAAGGTTTAAATATATATATACATATACACCCATGCAAATTGGGGACGAGCTACCAGTTTTTTTATAAATGTAGACATTTGAATCATGGCAAGGACTTGAATCCCTTTTGACTTTTTAAAATTATTTTTCATAGGGCCTGTAATAGGTGAAAGACGGCGCTGATTACGTCATCGAACTCGTACATCCAGATTTACAAACAGCTCTTTATAACTACAGATATGATATGAATGCCTAAACCACTGATATAAAATAAAAAAGCAGTTTATTTTTTAAATGTCAACCAGAAACCTACATTACGGCAATTTGATTTTGATAAAAAATAATATAACTTGCATTTATAAGTTTTATTTTCAATATGGATATTAGCTGATTATTCCCTTTTAAAATATTAAATTTAACATACCAGGTATCTATAAGCAGCTATTAAAAATTCTTGACAAGCATTACTCAGACCAAGTTTTCACAAGGTATTCAAGCTGCTGTATAGGGTTATAATCTTGTTTTGTAAAATGAAAATGTATTAATAAATGAGGCTATATTACACAATGGGCCCAAGATTGGCAAACCATGTGTAATTTCTGAATCCAAATAGCCAACATATAAAAGTTATCATAATCGAATATGTATCTGTCTTAGGATGTAACCCCTACTATAAGGTTTAATTATTAAAATAAAATTATTCACACGGGTAAAGAGTTTATTCTCAGAGTTTTAAATACAATAGTAATGCAAGAAAAAAATCACTGTTCATGTTCAATACAAATACTTGTTTAATGGATAAACCTAGGACTTAAAATAACTTCGTCAAACTCAGTATGCAACATATTAAAATAAAAGAGGCTAAGACTTAAAATAACTTCGTCAAACTTGATATGAAACATATTTAAATAAAAAAGAACTTTGAAAAACTTGATATGCAACAAATTTAAATAAAAAAAAAGGGCGAGATATAAAATAAAATTGCTCAGGATACTGGAAACTGCACGTTTTTTTAAATTCATCAACAGTATGACATAACAAAATTTTATTTCATTGCACAAACACTTGATTCTAAGAGATTTCAATTTAAATATCAATAAACATTTTAAGATTTCTTATAACTGTGTATATATATGTGTATATATATATATATAGCCTAAAGTTATGTAACCAAATCATGGAAGTATAAAGAATACAATATATTAAAATTTAATAATGACAAAAATATCACATCTCTGATCCATGATACCAATGCAGTTCCATATTAATCTTATCCTCCCCGCAAAAATTTTCAACAAGACAAAAAATTAGATGTTAATGTACATAGATCTTATTCAAAATGTCTGTAACAACATTAAAACGACATCATCAAGTTGACAGACAAGACAGTAAGTTGTAATAGATGTGTGGCACAGCTAGAATACACATGCACTACTTAGAGGGGGTGTGCCACACTACACAAATGCCAAGGAATTAGGCCTGGCTCTCATTAGTGGTTGTTTCAATGGTGGTGCCAGCAGGCTTAGTATTATTTTTCGGCTTGGCCTGTTGCTGCGGCAGAGGGGACGATGTAGTGGCCAGGGGTTCACCACCCTCTTGACCATTCTGACGTTGCCCAGAATTCTGCTGACCTGCCTGGGCCTGCTGTCCCTGAGCTGCTCCACCTTGGCCCTGTTGGAAGTTGCGTGGACGCATACGGCGGTATCCGCCACGGTTCATGGGGCCTGGACCACCACCACGGCGCCCCCCTCGGAAGTTACGACGGAAGTAGCTAGAATAGGATGTAATAAATTTATTGAAACAAGAAAATAATTAATCAAGTATATTAATTAAAATTGAACTGGGTGACCACCAACCTCCGCTGTGGTGGTGCTCCGCCCCCCTCCTGTACCTCATCACCCTGTGCGCCCCCCTGATTGGGCGGGGGCCCACGACGTCCCATACCACCTCTGCGTGGAGCGCCTTCACCGCCACGTCCGCCGCTTTGACGGGGGTAGTATCTGAAAAAAAATTATTTGTCATTATATTTCATCAATTATAATTGGGTATGCATCAGTATACATAGCAATGCAAATCGCATATTAATATTTTTTTTTGTTGGAACAACATAGGTTTATTTGCTAGCATGTCAGTTTGTAATGTTTAACGAAATAAAAGACAAAATTGCAACCCATTTTAATAATACAAAAGTCAGATGTAGGTTTCAATAAATACTGCTCTTCATACTAACTGGCGATGGAAGCCGCGACGTTTATCAGCTGCATAGGGCGAGCCTTTTACTGGCTCGCCTCCGGGTCCAGTTACTCCACACGCTTCATAGCCTTTCTCCCCGGCGACCACGGCAAACTCCACCGCCTCCCCGTCGCCGACCGAGCGCACAGCCTTGCGTGGATTGTTCCGGGCAATTGCTGTTTGATGTACGAACACATCCTCCTTAGTATCATTCCTGTAAATATTTTTATAATTATATAAATGTAATTGTAATGTTTTCCTACCATATGACTGCATTATAATATACCTGTTGATGAAACCATATCCACTCTTTACGTTGAACCACTTGACAGTACCCGAAACTTTCTCAGCTAGAAAAAAAAAAATAGCCATTATTATACAATAATTATAATAGATAATATAGATATAAAGCTCCTGTAGTATCAATAGAGGACTGGGAAAGACTACTAAATATTACATCAATATACCACCACTTCCACACCAAATAGTAAAAAAAAAAAATTGCCCGAACTCTGCATATATGTGTTTGACTTATTCGGCTTCAAGACTAACTAACTGAGGTTGAGAGCTAAAACGCTATAGACAGATGGGTGAACCTACTCATTGACCAAAGTAACTTTAATTTGTAGTGTTGTAACAAAAGCAAATTATTTTGCTTTAATGTTAATTGCATTTCATCTAAATATTTAAAAATCGCTTAGAATTAGGGCCATGAGACTAACTAACAAGAATGTTCATAATTGTTTTCTGAACAGATGATTCTTCAAAATTATACCATATGTAGGTAGGTCACAAAAGTTTTTCAGTCTCCATCAGTAAACTAAATTTCAATAAGTAATTCAATTGAAATTATATTACCTATATTCAACATTTTAAATTATAAAATAGAAGAATCACACGTATGACGCTTCAACAATATATTTAAATAAAAGACGCAATCATTGCAGGTGGCTGCGAATGTTGAAGTGAATTCGAGGTGCATTATGACGTAGTTACTGAGCAGGACGCATCTCCGGTATTGATTTGTGTCACACGATGCGTCCCTGGGTGGTGCTGCTGGCGGGGTCAACATACGATCAATAACTTAAAACTAGGTCATCCCGTACTAATATCTATATACTATATAATATTTTCATAAAAACCTGCGCGTACAAGGTATACATAAATAATTAGAAATAGAGAACAGCGAGATTTTTAGATTTTGATACCATGTGCTTTTACTAACAAGAGTGCCGGTCGCATAAAACTAAGATGGCGCACTCACCGATGACCTGCTTTTGTTTAGCCGCCTTAGCTTGTTGCGGTTGGGCTGGTTGTTCTTGCTGCTGCTGCTGCTGCTGCTGCTGCTGCTGCGGCTGCGGCTGCGGCGCCTTTTCGGTATCAGCCATGGTGTAATTGGCGAACGGCGATGGTGGCTAGATGGTAAAAATCTCCACGACCTCTCCTCGATGTTCACTAGTCCTCTCTGATCGTTACGATTGACAAATGTGGCTTGTAGCTTACTTCACTTTAGTTGGTTGGTATAGATTTTAATGTGGAAGGGGAAATAGGGCTGCACCTAATATTATTTGTATCGACATTCTACATATTGTATGTAAATATTTATACTTAGGTTTATAATAATATTAAATATACATTGTATTATCATGAATTAACAAATATTTTGGTTTATGTAATATAGAGATCATATCATCATTGTTGTCTACAGAGTAGACAACAATGATGATATGATCTGACGTTTTGTATTTGCTTGAGTTCTACAATACAGTTATGTATCCGTCCGTAATACGATGTTTCCGTTCGGCCCCTAAGGGTTTTTTAATCGTTAAATAAAAAGCAGCAATACTTAAAAATTATAACGATATTAATGAATAGCATAAAATTAATGCTAATGTTAGAAAATATTCGTGTTTAAAAATATTACGAAGTACTTTTGAACTTGTGCAGGATCATCATCATCATCATCGCAGCCCGGAAGACGTCCACTGCTGGACATAGGCCTCCCCCAAAGATCTCCACGATGATCGGTCCTGCGCTGCGCGCATCCAATGCCTTCCAGCGATCTGGACCAGATCGTCGGTCCACCTTGCTGGAGACCTTCCCACGCTGCGTCTTCCGGTCCGTGGTCGCCACTCGAGGACTTTACTGCCCCAACGGCCATCTATCCTACGAGCTATGTGCCCTGCCCATTGCCACTTCAAAGGATAGGATTGTGCAGGATATTTCCTATAAAATATATATTTTTTTACTTTATAATGCATAATTGACCGATCTAAAGCATTGAAATATTGGCATAAACTAAAAAAATAATTTTAATGGTAATCTCATATTGTGAGACATAATTATATGAGTAGGTATCATGTTTATTGTTTACCCAGAGATAAAGTTATTATGTTTCTTAAAATTTTAATTAAGCTGTAATTATTTTGATACAATTTGTCGACATCGATGAACCAGTATCGATTTAAAAGCATCTTGTTTCTTGAAAGTTGGTACGTACTGCTAGTTAGCGGTTATACGTGCGTTTTTTTTATTATTATTAGGGCTTAGATACAAGTCTTTTAAGCCAAATCTTGATTACATTCGAATACTCTTCTTTGTTATTATGTTTTATAGCTCTGCACTAGACTGCTCAACAAGGCTTATTTATGATCCTTTAAAATATAAGTATTCAATCATACTTCTTCAAGTATACCAGCCAGTCTGAACATGATTTGCAAATGTCGCTCACATTGTAATAAAAATTACAAGAACATTTAAATTTACATATAAAGAAACATTATACACAAAGCTATATATTAAATAATATTAGTAAAATTATCAATAAAACTTAAGTTCTTTGTACTTTTCTTATAATGACAATTATTTATATATGGGAATAAATTACAATTCTAGTAGGTAATTGGTAATATAGTCCAGAATGCAACGGGTAATGCTTGGTGACTACAAAAATGTCACTGACAAATGAGTAGTCATTGAATGTCAAAAGCTAGTAGTGTATTTTGCGTCGGCATAAAAAAAATATATAATTGTATAATTACAGTTACATAAAGTTTTTAATACACTTTAATCGGTAACTATATGTTTACGTTATTTATCAATGTTAAAGCACATAATATAACATATCTTTCAGCTGTGAATATACTACAATTGTTTTCTAATTTTATACATTCATTTCATTTCATTAATGGGTCATAATATGCTGCTTGAACATTTAGGCATTTAAAGTATACAGTGGGGTTGCCAAATTAATAGGCAGTCACATTATTTATAATTTTTGTTCTTCAAGTGGTTTTGATTACGTTTAAGTGGTAATAGTTTTTTTTGCTAATATTATTATGTTCACCGTGTCTCTATAACTCAAATTTAAAGTGTATTTCAAGTCTGAGAGATTTGTTTATTTTGTAAATATATTTTAATAACGAGAGAGACACATAGTCGTTAACACGTGTAAAAGTGAAGTGAGCAAATGAGTAATATTTTACTATAATTAAAATTAAAGTATGGACCAGATTTTAGAACAATTTTAATTTATTTTATATTTGCAGCTTTGGCTATGGGGATGAGGGGTAGATTTGACTCTGAGAAAAAAATCTGAGGTTGAAACCCTTCTTCTACACACAAATCACTCTCAGAGGAAGATAGCATACCTGGCCGGCTTATCTAAGTCTGCTGTCAATAAAATCAAGATAAATTTAGACCAAAATCCGCTACTTTCGCACAAAAGAAAAGGCGAATGTGGCAGAAAACTAATCAGAACAGCATGTTCCAATAGGAAAATTCGGGATATCTGTTTGCAAAACAGAAAGAAAAGTTCTGGATTCTTTACTCAGATAGTAGAATCTGGAATATGTGTTTCTAAAATGACTGTACAGCGAATATCTGGTTTATAAAATCATATATACAAAAATTATAAATTGTTTCTATATTTTTTTGTTTCTCAGACAAATTAACTTTTGAAATTCTGGCCAACAAAAGCAAATTCGTGAGGCGGCATCTAGGTGAGAAATTTTATCCCGATTGTATAGTGAATCACTTTAAAAACCCTGTAAAAAAAATGCTCTGTCATTAGCACAAATGCAGTTGGGCCCTTCTATATTGTTCAGTGAACCATGAGACAGGATCAAATCACGAAATACTTTTAAGAACAATATTGTTATTGGAAGATAATGCCTTTAGAAAAATTCTTTGAACCCATTGTAAATTATGTATTGATATTGGAGGTATACAATTTTCAATTTCCATAGAATTATTAACAGTAGAATGACACACTAATTACAACACTACTACAACATATTTCAGACCTATTTTTTGTATCACATTTAATATTCTCAATTATGGGGTGTGAGGGAAATTTAACAGAGTAATTATAGTGATGTCCAAGTAAATACTGTAGAATAGTAATATATTTTTAATCTAGACAAAATAATATAAAAACATGTTTAATACAATTATATAGATAAGTGATATGGATACATCAATATGAAAACAGACAAGATGACAAAATACTCTCTTTTCCAATATTAAAATATACTTCATCTGCCATACGATCCATCTAGTCATCAATTGCAAACCTCATTCTTACTTGGGTCACTAGCATTCATATAAGCTAAACTACTTTAGGCAAAATTACATCTTCATATGCTTTTATACAGAATATAAACACCCCAGAAAATATCAGTGAAAAATCTCCAAATATTTATGCCTCTCTTTTTGACACACATGTATTATATGTATATTAAATTTGAATTTATTGTTTTTCACTTCCATTCGTCTGTGTTCATAGTCATCTCACTATTTACTCCTTTTCCTGCCATATCATCCTTCACAGAGTCCCTCCATCTCTATTTCGGCCTAACTTTGCCCTTATAACCATTCACATTATATGAATTTTTTTAAATATTCTTTTCCTTCTTATGCATTCCATGGCCATACCATGGCAGACACTTACTTCTCAACAATGTCAGATCAGTAAACCTTACCATAGAGAGGACAAAGTTGTTCCCTACATTGTACTTTTATCGTTAAAAGTTTTACTTTGATTTGCTGATTATATGAATTCTTGGGTTTTATTTATGACTAGAAACTATTAATATTTTTTTATTCTCTGAAAAGTAAGAAAAGTCCCATTACCATCTAGTTAGGTTAGATACTTCAGGTTTCATGAACTGGCAAGATCCTCAACTAGTACATTTCATGTTTATTATTCATAGCATATATAAATGTTGTATATGTCTAATATATTTAATATATTTATAATTAATATAAGAACAACTAACAATACAGACATTCATCTATTAACAAATAATTGATTAATTGATAAATACATCATGTATATTAAGTAATTAATATGTGATATATTTAATAATATTGTGTTTTATTAAAAGATTTTACATAAAGTATCTTAATTTACCTGATATTCATGTCTTAATAGTTTAAATTACTTTCTCTTGTACAATTTAAACAATATTTTATCAAAAACTTTTAAGGATTACAGTGTTGTAATCTCAATAAAAATTGTTGAATCTCTTATTAATTGACACTAACTTATTATTATTTTTGACATTGTTTCAGCTTAATGTTCAAATAGAAGGCTTGTAAGCAGGACATGAAAAAAGACAGCTCAATTCATGTCCAGATTGGATGATATTGTATAAATGGCATAATGGTGTACAAGAAAAGAAAAGCATATTTTTTTGAGTTACAGTGGCTGAGGAGAAGAGCAAATGAAGCTACGTGAAAGCTTGTTAGTTTAAAATAATGTAATACAATAGTAAACGAGTTGTCACTTGTATATTTTTATAATAATAAATAAATAACCCTGGACAAGTACCACAGCGCCATCTAGTCCCACTCTAATCAGAGCTTCTGTTATGGGTACTAGACAGCTGATATAAATTTTTAGATATATTTTTTACACACGCATAATATAATAATAATACATATTACTACTCAAGACAATTCACACAGCGCCATCTAGTCCCAAGTTAAGCTATCTAAAGCTTGTGTTACGGGTACTAGATAACTGATACAATTACATAGATATATTTTTTTTTTCGTAAATATATGTATATTATATATAGAAAACACCCAGACCGATACAAACAATCATACTCATGGATACAAATGGAGCGAGGAATCGAACCCGCGACCATCGGGCGTAAAGCGGTGTGCTAGACCGCTAGACCACCGAGGTCGTCATATACATAAAATATACCCAGATCGATACAACCAAAATAAATATAATATAGATTTTTTAAAGGCAATATGTTCTACTTCTACTTATATTTCTTTCACTATAAAGAGTTATTCTTATTATCATTAATTCAAATATTACATGTGGAATCATTGTATTTTATTCACTAATGTTAATCTTAAGAATACTGTCAGTATACTTTTCCTCCTTTGTATATATGACTGTATAGAATTTAAGAATAAAAATAAATTATTGAAATATACTTTTTGGTAGGCAGGAATATGACTGACGTACCCGCCCGTACAAAATGTAAGTTTTCGGTGCACCAGTGGAGTATGATAGGATTAGTCGTGGGAAATTGCGGAAAAATATAGTAAACAAGGTTCCATCATCATACGTTGATTGCACAAATCGATTATTACTTTTTTTGAAGCAAATAGCAGCACAATGGGGGTCGCTGTGACGCGACAGAAGCGCCACTTTGCAGATACATACTCCCGCTAAATTACAAATATACAAACCTTGGCTGCAAATATACTTACAGATCAACGAAATAACAAGATTATGATTATTAATAATGAAATGTTTATGTGGTTACAGGTACATACTCACCCGCTAAATTACAAATATACACACCTTGGCTGCAAATATACTTAACAGCGAAATAACAAAATATGTAATTATTAGTAGTGAAATGTTTAAATGGCGTAACCAATGAGTATGAAGTCGGGTCACTTAGCCATATGGTGCATCAGGAGTTAAGCTCTATGGTTTTTTGAAGTGTGGACGTCGACCGGACGTTTTATAATCACGTGTTGCTTCAATTCCGGACGACTAAGATCCTATGCCATCCTGTAATTTTACCTTATTTTACGTATCAACCAAAACATGCAAATGAAGCTGCTGGGCGGCTGGAATAGGTAACACTGAGGTCCATCTTCATAAGAGTAGAATGCTTTAACTTATACTTTCAATAATACTTTAATCTAGTTCTAATATTATATTATCTAAATTAATATATTTAATACTTTTTTATAATATATATAGTTTCTAAAAGCTATAAGTTAGTACTATTTATTAGTTGTAATAAATTTCATTCCACACGTCTCTTTTTCTTTAATTTATCACCTGTAGGGGAAGAAGGGTGAATGGCGTTCACTTAAGGAAAACATGGTGTATTTTATAAATTATTTATTGCAAATCAAAATTAAGAAAAGTAACAAAATCTTTAATTATCGAGTAACCAACAATTTAAAAACAAAAGCATATAACTTTATTCTACTAGTAGTAGGAAGACATTATATAAAAAAACATGTTGAGCTGCATTGCCCCTGGCTATGGGTAATGCCGCTCAGGGTACGGGGGCTCTAATAACCAGTAAAATATATGAATTAAAGAAATATTCATAAGATCAATCTTATATAATTAAAGTAAAATCTACAATCCCCAATTATCCCCATTTCTACGTAAAATTAGCCTTTTTCAATTGAATAAATATAGTACAGGCATGTCATAGCAACTTCAATTATTGTAATATAATATAAAATAATAATTATTATTAGAGGTAAGACAAATTAGATATAAAAATATTTTTATTCTTGGATACATAAATCACATATGTATCTATCTGCGAATCCCACCCTGAACATGTAGCATGAGCTCACAGTCCGCAGATGGTGCAGCGATACCAGAATTCATATTTTTTCCAAATTCCTGTTAAGTAATACATTTGTTATAATTTCTATCATCCACATTCATTTTGTCGTCACTGTCATTGTCGCAAAGGCGCTCTTTATCTCCACTATCTGAAGAATTTTCATGTAAATTTTTGTTTAAGATTTTTGTATCATGTTTTTTTCTTTCTTTTGGACAAACTTATTTTAATCATACTTTTAGCAGATTGAAGGTCTTTTTCGGTATTTTCGGTCTAACAACTTTAGCGGCGATCCTTTGACGTTTTCTTAGCAAATCTACAACAATAAAAAAATAAGTCACAAAGGAGTAATGGCGCTCAGGTGAGCAGTATAACCCTCAACCGGTCGTTTTGTAATTAATTAGAAATAAAAAAAAAATAATGTGCATTATTAAAAAAATATTGCATTACCATAAAATAGAATAGTTTGATTATCAAAAAAGTATACTTAATAATTAAATAAGCATTAAAATTTTAGACTTACCGCCATAAAACACGTATGCAAAAATTAGATCAGTATGGCCGCAAACGAAAATCCGCAATTCACGATCACATGACGCGAGCTGAATGTCTGTTTGCATTGCTGTCTTTTAGAGGCTACCTATCCTCGTGCTTTAAGCAACGTGGCGTGTTGTAACTCTATCAACATTCCATGGTGAGCGCTATTCCACCTCGCTACCCTACTCTTAATTAGACATTACCGATTAAATTAAAATTATCCATTTCAAATATATATTATATTATTACTTATATAAAATTATATATTGTCGTCACCAACGTCACGCATACGCTGGAAGAGCAGTGGTAGTAATAGTATACCACTACCACTGCTCTTCCAGCCAGTGGTAGATGATTGGAACTTGTTAGGTCAGTTAGCCCATCAACGAATTAACACTAGGAATTCATGCTCATGTTAGCACAGATGGGTGCATTAATCCTATTCTACTTCGTTTAACCTCATTCTTCCCGATTCTACTCTATTCTTCTATGATATGTTTTAATTAATTATATTTTTTACCTATATATCTTACTTACTTAATTGGACCAGTCAATCACGAACTTTACTCTCTGCTACGATTAATTTTTATTTATATAAGATAAATAAATATTTTCATTACAGTTATAATGTTCAATTAATTTCGGGGTTTCCAATTAGGTTACTTAAGATTTTATAAAAAAGATGGTGGGCATTTCATACCTATTTTTTATAATTCGAAGCGAGACAATGAAAGGTACTTTTTGAAAGTTCTTGTTTTAATAATATGCAGTCATTACTTCCTCAGAGAATTTTTATTAATATTTTAAAATCTTTCACATGTATTACATCTAAAATCTTTTTTTCTTTAAACAAATATCACAACAAAAAATATGCCATTTTAGTACAAGTAGCAGTACTAAATATTTCAGAACACCTAACATCATACAAAATGTATGAATAAATATTATTATTCTTTAGTTGTGCAATTTGATGATTTTGCGCAATTACATAAAATTGTCAACAGAGTAGATTTACTTTTTACACTATTATTTAGTTCATTACACAGTGATATACCATCTAAACCTACATTAATATTTCCATCAGTTTTCTGAACAAACTGTACTGGAATTGACTCTCTATTAAAATAGAAATAGAGTTTCCCAGTAATTTCATATTGTGGACTTTCTTGAATTTCAGATGATTTCATTGTTGTCGTGGTTATACTAATTCGTTTGTTAATATCAAACATATAATTACCATCATTGTAGGTACTGGCTGACGGACTGGTATCATTACTATAATTTTCTTTTAGATTATCAATTTTTGTCCTGATGGTTAGATTCTCATTGTCAGAGCTATTATCATAGATGAAGTCATTATTACGCAATAATTCATTACCAGCCACTTCACTAACAACAGTGTCATTGGAATATTCTTTAACTATTACTTTTGATAGTTTAATATCATCATCTGGATATAGTGTGCGATTATTAGTTGCAGTCTTTATACTATTAAATTCCGTAAGTTCTTCTTGAACTTTGTCTTTAGTCTGTGTATCGTCATATTTAATTTTATTGGCTGGATCTTTAATATCTGTATTTTCAGTTGAAGTTTCTGCTTGCAATATGTCTTTTGGAGCATCAGTGAGAGTGAACCCAACAGTATTGATTTGTGTTATAGGACTATTAGTCGACGCAGTAAAGAAAATATCTCTATTTTTGTTAGAACTTTTGTCATACGTTTTAGTATATTTTCCTAGATATTCCTTTTCTGTCATATTTTCAATTTTTATTGGAGTAACAGAAAATAAATTTTCTTCTTTCGTATATTGGGTACTAAAAGTGTCACGTGGGCTTGTTATGTTGTCTTCATAATATTGTGCTATCGGTTCTACAGTTGACGTTAATGTTTCTCGATTTTCAGAATCCTGGTTATTCGAAGTGTTCATTGACGTCGACCTGGTAGATATTGTCTTACTTTTATTATTCGAAACAGAGTGTGATTTATCAAAATCCTGACTAGTAGTAGTTTCATCTTTGAAATTTGTATTCTCTGTTGTAGTAAAAGATAATTCATCTGATCTATTGAAATTCAATGAATTATTTTTTAACATAGGTATTGCAGTTATTATTTCATCAATTAGATCTTTTTGAGCTGATTTGTATTGAGGAGTATTTTTTTTGGGTAATGACATTTTTATTTCATTTAAACTTTCTTTCACGATACTAGCTGGCTGACCACACTTACTTTGAATTTCGATCATAATATCAGAATTCGACATATTATCATATTTTTTAAATTTATTATCTCCCCAAATTTCTTTTAATTTAGTGATGTTATTATTTTGCCTTGAGTAAATTAATATATGAAGATCTATGCACTCCAACAAATTCTGTTCGATTAATTTAAAATCCTTGGTATCAAATTCCTTTACAGAAGATCTAGGATTTACAGTATCTTGTACAGACACATCTAGATAAAGAGGGAGTTCACCTGGTTGAGTGTTTGAATTGTGTACAATATTTGCTTTTAGCTTATATTTTGGACGACCATTACTTTGCGCGTTCACATCGTTTTCGGCGTGTCGTTTGAATGTAGGATTCAAAATAAAAAAAGGGTGATAGACGAATGATACTCTTTCACTAGGAACGTGTTCTGCTGGTTCATAATAAACGGCAGTGTCTCCGTGTTGAAAAGCCGGTTTGATTTCGGACCTTGGCATCGATATTGGTTTCATACTATCGTTTGTTGAGCAAACACAATCTGGCCGCCATATATTGTTGGCACCGGTGAATCTGAAATATATTTTAAATAGTTATTGTAATTATTATAAATAATTAGGTAAAGGTATAAAACATATTTTGAACTTTTGCATGAATATGTTTTACTGTGTCGATGGATGATTAGATATATCTTTATCTGAATTTAATTGCAACATATATATACCAAAAGGTTACAGAATTAAATATAAATACTAAAGTTTTAAAAGGGTTTACATAGCTACCAACATTTATTCAATTATTTTCCACTGAAATGTTCTTTATACTGCCTTTATTAAGAACACTATAATATAGGATAATATTTAGATTAAAAATACAATATTTAGAGATTTACTGCTATACTACTTTTTTATTATTTATTACTAAGTAGGTATATGTATAATATAATGATTACTTTAGATATTTATTCCGTAAAATTGGCTAACTGCCTAACATTCATAATACCACAGATAAAATAATAATACGAAAAGTAGATTAATGGACTAATTTTTAATATTTTGTTTGGGTATTTATTAAAAATATAATGACATAAATCTTATTAACTTATATTAGTTTTAGAAGTAATAAGGTTAGAAAGTTTATGGCTAATGTAAATCATCTACAAAATAACCAAAAGTAATTACATAGTTATACTAGTTACAAAAAGCAAACATCCTAAAAAAGTGGTAATCATTGACTATAATGATAAAAGAGTACTACGCATATCACAAAATATAAAATATTTGTGTCACGCAAAAACTGTTCAACGGATTTTTATGAAACTGTAAAGTCATTCCTATGGCTTATGCAACAGAATAACATAAAGGCTATATTTTGCATTAAAATTTTACGCGGGTGCAACCGAGCTAGAAAATAATATAATTTACCAAAATTATATAGTTTACTTATCGAATTGAACTACCGGATATATCTAATAATATTTTTTGCATTTATATTTTGTACCTAATCATCGACAAGAAAGCGGCAGAAAAAGAGGATTATAGTCATAGTGTTACAAAAAAATATATAGTATTTATATATAAAATTTAAAAAAGTAGTGCATTAAATTTTAGTTATCTATTTTATCTTATATTTACCAACTAAAATATACATTAGTTATTACAAATAATGTATAAATAGTACTTGGTAAAATTATATTATAAAACTGTAACGTTTTATGTAATCGTGGATCTATTGTATCGAGATAATAAAATAATGTACTTACAACGATTCGCAATAATCAGTGCAAGGTTGCAGCACTGCTGTTGCAGTCGTCGCCGCTGTTATCAAGACAAGTCTGTACATTTCTAATGAGCACTTCGCACAATGGACGAATGCACTTTATGACTTGGTAAACTCATTAAGAGAGCCAAGTATTCACCACGGTTTCGCCGCCAATCGGTCACAACGTTAACGACAAATTACTAGAACGGTAATTTCAATTTCTTCATAATACATGCATCAGCTATTTGCTACCGAACGGTGTCGCATGACGAAACGTGCCCAGTAAAAGGTCGACGTTGATTGTTTTGCAATCGATGTGCATTGTCCCACGAAAGAGATCATCTTTCATGCATTACCCTAGTGTGGTATTTATCGTTTCAAGATCAATTATGTATGCTCACCAGGCCCGCGTTAATGTGCCGATAATTAAATTGAAACAGTTAACTGAACTTGTAAACTATTTAAACAGCATTAGGTACCTGTATCATATTAAAAGTATACTTATTTCAAAATCCAATTATACTTTAGACATGATTATAAAATTAATGTTTCTTGAAAATAATTAGACAAACACTTATTAGATATATCTACGGTAAACATTTAACGAGTGTGAAAAGATTTTTAATAATAGGTATTGCACATAGAATATACAAAATAGTGTCTTCTACTATAGTTTCAAATTACACACAAGTTGTTTTTTACTTCCCTAGATGAGTGGAGTCGTATTGTGTAGGTACATTACAATATTATTTCATTATTCCACTTATAATATCGCATAAGTGGAATGATTCAAATTATGACATTGAATTGAATTGAATGGACAATTGAATATACAAATTTATAGTAATTTGAAATTCAAGTAGGCCTTCCTTGATGTGAAGTCGTAATCGTTGCCTATATATAAGGACAGTGTACCACAGACATCACTTTATTATATCATTCTTCTTCTACCTTGCTATTCCTGGGAACTAAGTTACCATGCCATATTTTCACTGCCATGTTTTACAATTCAACTGATTTTAGTCAGGCAGCACAAAGGAAGCTGTTGGTGGCTGAAATAAGTAAATAATTCGAAATAATGGGTAGCAATCGTATCCCCAGTCTTTATTATCTTTACCTACCCTGTAAGATACTTGGCTTGAAGATACATTTAAAGAACAAGTATTTTTAGTCACGGAGATTTTTTTGGTACAGGTAGGTATCACCTGAATTCAATATTGAAAATGTCAAAAAAAATTAAAATTTAATAATACACTTAGCAATACATTTCATGTATACCTTTACATAATCTTGTTTATATTCCAGCTGTTTATTATAATGTTTATATGATGATAAGTAAGTAATGAAAGAAAAATATTTTATATCAATTTTAATGTTTAAATTCAACCTCGACCTAAACCAATTCGCACTTAAATGATTTTATGTAATATTTTAAATGAAATCCGTAGAGATTATATTTAATAAAATAGGCCATTTAAAAGTATAGTACTTAAGTAAGTACTATACTTTTATATACGTATTAATAAGTATTAATACACATTAAAACTAGTGAATTATTTGTGATTTATATTTAAAGTTATCCTATATTGAAGAGTATTAATATTTATTAAGTCGGTTTAACTGAACTGCATACGTACCTATATATGCATATATGCATATACCTATTATCTTTAAATAATACTTGCTGTACCCGCGACTTCATCCGAGTGAAATATAAAAAAAAGTTAATAAGAAAAACTTTTTAAAAGAAAAGTTACTCCTTATTACATCAGCTACCTGCCAATAAGAGTTCCGTCAAAATTGGTCCAGCCATTTCAGAGATTAGCCGGAACCGACTGATAAATTTACTAATAATTTTTTAATTAATCAATACGGTAAATATACCAAAATACCATATTTTTTTAAATTTTTATCAATCGATTCCGGCTTATATGCATATCTATAGTAAAAAAACGGTTATTTCAGTATTTCTAACAGACTCTCCAATTTTATATGTATAGATGTACCATTGATTCATCACCAAAATTTATATTAATAAAATAAACTCTTTATAATGCACATAGAAGAAACACAATAAGTAGAAAATTAATAACTTTATAATTAAACCATTTTACGGCAATAAATTACATTGGTACATACACCTACTTACAATTGTAGGTATTTGTTTATTATGTGTGATATCGATAGTTGGCTATGACGCAATAAAAATGATTAGATATATAGCTAAACTTACATATTAATGAACTTCTAAATATATGTAAGGCATACTATTTCTTTAGGCTATAGGTATTATGCCGTACCTATCAGTGTCTAGAACTTTTTAATTAAATAATTAACAATATTTGATGTGACATTAGAGGATAAGAGGTATAGATATTGTTGTCGTGTGGAATGTCAACGCACAACACACTGTTCATGTATATAGGCGACGGTTACCACTTACCGTCAATTGTTTACCATTATATAAAAAAGTAAGGGTAGACTATACTGGATCATACATATTATGCATATAAACTTTTTGGAAGAAAATCTTTAAATAATAAAACTTGTTTCGTAGTTACCACGCAAAGGTAGTAGAAAAACAGACAGACAGAGGAAAAGGGTAACCTTCTTTTAGACTTTTCTACTATTAAATATTATATAATTTTCCATAAAAAGAAACAGACATTTGTAACAGGCTTCTAGTTACGAATGTTAAGGTACATTCGTACGAATCAAGGAAATATACCTATGTATATAATATTTGTACTCGTATATGAAACGAAACTGGGAATAAACCCTATATCTATTGCAAAAGGTTTATTATCAAACGTCCAGTTTTGCGTTGCAAGTTTCAATTAGTTTACTATAAATATAACTACAAATCAATCGATCTCGCCCGGGGACTGCGCTCGGCGCATCGGCGCATCGGCGCATCCAGCGCGAGCTTATTGATTGAAATCTAGTTTACCTGTGTACCTATAGTATTTCAATTTCATATAGCTCAAGTGTATTTTTCTCATTGCCGGATTAACAATGGCGGGCCCCTAGACAATGCTATTCCCGGAGTCCCTTTGTGGTTAAAAAAAGTATTGAAGAGAAGTCCTCAGAAAAACGTTTCAACTTTTGTTTATCTTAAAATATGTCATGTAACACATTATTACATTAATTACTCGATACTATATAATTTTCTTCTCTGTAAGTCTGCTTATTTCATGACCCGACAGCATCCCTAGACAAAAAGCGATAGTACAATATCTATTGCCGGTATAAATTTTTACGGTATTTAAAATTTTCATTTAATTTATGCGCGACCTGAGATTCTAAACGATGCGGGATCACTAGGCAGTACTAACCTAGCCTACTCTACTAGTGCTTATTGGCACACATAATATTAATATTAAATACAGATGGTTAATCCAACACTGCTTTCTCCTAACTTAAACAAAATGCATTCGATACAACTATCATGTTCATGTTAATTTTCCTAGTGACTTCCGGCACAGAAACGTGGTCGTTAGCTATAGCGAAGCCTATAGTTAGCGACCACAAATAAGCTTAGAGACACTCAGAGGGCAATAGAGAGGGTTATGCTCGGAGATTCTCTGCGTGCTCGTATAGAAAGGAGGAGATCTGCAGAAGAACCAGAGTGACTGACATAGCCCGAAGAATTGCGAAACTAAAGTGACAATGGGCAGGGCACATAGCTCGTAGGACAGATGGCTGCAAGGGCAGTAAAGTCCTCGAGTAGCGACCGGAAGACACAGCGTGGGAAGGCCTCCGATAAGGTGAACCGACGATATGTTCAAGATCGCTACAAGGCGCTGGATGAGAGCAGCGCAGGATCGATGTCCGCGGAGATTTTTGGAGGAGTCATTTTTTCAGCAGTAGTAGTCTTCCGGGCTGAAAGGATGATGATAATGACTTTCCCTAGTTCTCAGAAAGATTAGGTTCATGCCAGTTAGGAAGCTGACCGTACATGATTAGTGAAACAACACCCACATCGGCTAAGCTTTCAGATATTAGTGTACAGAACAACAGACTACAATTCGGCAATTGATTTGGGTTATATTATTTTGATATACTGGAACTTCTCTCATAGACCTTCATGTAAAGATAGCGAGCAGTTAGTGACTGTATGGGACGTCATAAATTAACAAATAGACGTGAAAATACTTCTGATGTCACTAATAACGAGATATGAGCTTAGATACAACCACAGGCAATATTACTAAAATATATTATGCAATTCTGTTCAGACACAATAATTATTACGTGAGATCTCATAACAATTAATTGCTTGGGATGCGAGATTGCATAGGTATGTTTAATTAACGACCTTGATGGTAAGCGGATTCTCCTTTTGTTGCTCGTGGGTTCGATCCCCTTATAATGCAAACACTTACATTAATAAGTATTTGCATGGTGGTACCATGAAGGTGGCAAACAAAAGTAATAATTAAAAAGACCAGTCTGTTGGTGTATGAATAAGACTGGGGTATGACTCAGTCATACTTATCAAGACTATTTATTCTAAGACTCAAAACGGGGCATAGATTTATTTAGGCAGATAGAGAATGAAAGGAAACCCTTTTTTAAAGTAATTTATTTAGAAAAAGTAACGAATAGGTATATCAGCGATATAAATATAACCAAATATTTTGTTTAGTTATATTTATCAGGGGAACAAATTTGGTTGGTGTGTGTGGTGTTAATAAACTGTAGCTTGTGAAGATTTTAAGTGAGAATGAACCTCTTAGCAGGTTTTTTTACATTTACCTTTATTATCAACATTACAACCGTCCAATTAGACTACTCAAATTTCATAGCGGTTTTCGAAAACGATACAATCTTGCGTCCCTGAGTTCATTTTAGGGAGACCGGGACTCGTATTTATAAAAAGGAACAGTCCAGTTCAAAATAGAACAGCTGGTCACGTTAGACATATAACATATAACACAATACAAGTCATTAAAACTACAGATAGAATATGGACGAGAAGGACAGACAACGCGGGTAAAGCCACTGTCAACAATTATTCAAATATGATGATAATTACATAAAAACATTTACCTACATATAATGTAATCAATTTATTTTCGGCGATTTCTGATAAATATACGATATGTAATAAAGTGAAGTATGTAAGAGATACTAGGTACTTTTATATTTATTCTATACTGTACTGTAATATGTACAAGACTTACTTGTAGAATTGTAGATGATACACTTCAGATTCATGAATATAGCCCGATTGAAGTTGGTAGGTAAGGTTTTACGTCATAATGACTCTGCATCTTAGCTTCACTTCTATTTTAATGTTTTATTGCGCAATAATCTGACCGACTAAAGGTTGCTTACCTAACTGTAGGTAAAATTATTGTAAACCCAGTAGTAGAAGTTAGAAATAGGGCCTAGAACATAGATGTTGAGTAATTTCAGAACTATTTACACCAATACATAATTTTTTCAATGAACGCCCGTCGTGGTTATCGCTGTTTTATAACATTCTTTATTATTTTGTAATCTTGCTGATAAGATCAAATAATTGTACATACAATAATAATAATTATGCTTGTTTACATTTTTTAAGATTTAGTTTTCGAATTTCAAAATTAATAATATACATTTTATTATAATTTCAGT